AGTGCAAAACTATTGACGACACGTGTCTGCAGCACGATTAGACACGCATTTATTTAGTTTATCAGATAAAAAATGTTGATTTGGGGGTGACTTGCTCTTTAAAGGCAGCTTGTACTTGAAATTGGACCAAGTCTGGCATATTTGATCTCTCTGATTTATGATCCTAGTGGTCCCAGCGTTCTTCCAAGCTGACCAGAGTGCTCCTGACTCACCACACACGCTAGCAACATCTGGTCAAGTTTCTGTTTTTATGTGACCATGTTCCTGTCCTGTCTGTCTCTGATCTTCCAGCATCTCCTCTCAGTCCTACAGAAAAACCGCTGTTTTCACCTCATGAGTCACTTTTGAACTAAGCAGTTCAAAGGGATCTACCGACCGCAAAAACGGCGGAGTGAGAGCCGGCCATGCCAGCGAGGTGAAGTCACCAGCGCACAACAGAGGCGATGCACGCCGCTCTGCAGCAGCGAAGGACCTCAGGCACAAATAAAAGGCAGAAAGCACAAACGATCGTTGGTTAGTTGTACTTCCTTGAGGTGGCGACGCTTTGAGGACGTTACTGTGGCCGTGCGCAGGATGCAGCTGCCTGGAGCACAACCATCAGCGCTCTTCGTCCTCCCCGCTCAAAAGAACCTCCTCAGAGTCCACATAAATAATGCTATAAAAGTAGGACCAGGATCTTTCTCAGGCCTCCAGCGGCGCTCCTCCCCCTTTCGGGTGAGCTGGGCTCGGACCCAGGGAAGTGCGTTAGTGCCGGTGTTCGATGAGACCGACAACCAGATGGTCCAGTCGTTGGTTTTGGACTGAGCCTTGTCATTGGTGGAGGTTTTAGACCAATGCGAGACATAATTACAGCTTCACTTTGTTAGAACGGTGTTAAGAGGCATGAAAGCAGATGCTTCAAGCTGGCTCGTCTATTCGCATTTGGATCTTTAAATTTAGCTTCGTATCTGTAAGCTAGTAGCTTAATGACATCTTATTTGTGGCAGCCATCTTGAATTGGAGGGACTCCTGAGAGACCATGAGATATTTTACTAAACACACACACACACTGAGCTAATTATCGCTGGCCGTTCTGCCCTTCGGCGGCACAGATAACCAGCTGGATCTGAAGTCAGATGCCGTGTCGCTCTTGTTTGTTTAAGGTTTGCCTGATTGTTGACTCTGGAGACCTTCGTCGAGGCAGTTAACACGAAACCCTGACCCATTCAGCCCAAGGGTCGGGTGATCTACTGTTTGACAGTCATACAGGAAGGGGATAAAAACAAAATGATGCTGTTTTTCCTGCATTGGTGGGAGGAGAGGAGCGGGATCGCTACAGCGTGTGAAGTAGAGGCTGTTGTTCAGGGTTGCAGCTGGGGTCTCGTTGACCTTGTCACACAGCACCACTTACACAAGCTCTCACATCACCTGACCTCCATGACACCGGGCTGGCTGTCGATCACTCGCAGGCGGATGTGAGTTTGGCTACGGCGTCTGGTGACAGGAAGTTCTGTCATCTGATCGTCCGGCCAACGCACCGTCGAAACGAGCCTCGCCAAAGAACCACGACAACACCGTGTTCAGAGATTCTGACCGAAGATTCACGACCAACACTTTTTGTTTCCTGCAGCTGAGAGTGGAGGAGCGGGTGATAATGTTTTTGCCTGTGTGCACACAGCTTGCATTATTCTCTCTATTTTCTTTTTTAGGTTGATCAGCCTGAGGTTTGAACCTCTTTGAGATTAAATCTGTAATAAAGCTAAACTTTCAGAAGCTCGCTGGGATCGTTAACAGTTGCTGAAGTTTTTTTCTGAGTATCAGACTCGGTATATCTGCTTCATCGTTATTATTTTGTCTTTATTCTCTTAAGGCTTGAAACCACTCCTTGACGGACGTCACCTCTTGTTTTTGATCATTCACGTCAGGTGATGTGGCTCTGGGCAGCACAAAGAACAACTTTATATTTAGTAAGATTTATTTTTCACTTCCTTAACTCATCTTGAAAGCAGTGAAGCTGCAGTTTAAGCAAGTCCAGCTCTGTGCTGCTTCTTTAATTCAAGCTAAATGTCTCAGGAGCTGCCTCCATGCACTCACTGTGATTAAAAGGTTTAACTCTTCTCAAGAAAGAGAAGAAATGTTTCTTTTCAAGTCTGGCGGCTGCAAAAGAAGCAAACTGCACCCGATCTCAAATCCATCGGCTCGGTTCGTGTTAGCGTCTCTTCTCGTTTCTCTTCAGGGTTACTTTGTTTGGCAAGCGCGTCTGCCTCTGACATTCTGTAATGGGATGCTTGTAGATAAATTACACTCCCACATCAGCCTTGTGTGTCACTGGGAGATAAACACACATAACCACATGCCTGCAGGACCTTTCCTGAGGACAGATTCCCTAATGGGAATGCAACTTTGGCTGAATCTATTGAGTTTTATCTACCTGTTGCAGAAATCTGCACCAAACGTGTGTGTTTCACAAACACAACCTGCTCCTTTCTTCAGTTTGCAGGTTCAAATACTTCATTCTCATCCTCTTTGCCTCTCTTGCTCGGTGTCTCAGTGCTGTTGCCTCATCACACAACCCCTGAGAAAATGAAACAATCCAAAGTGGGAAAATACACGAGAGATTTACTGAAGAAATTCTGATTGTTGCCCGCGCAGCTACTGCTCATCGTGATCTTCTGTAATGATTGAAGATAAAACTGTATAAGAAGTGGTAAAACAGCTCAAAAAAAATGTTAACGCTGCTGCCAGTGGCTCATTAAGGTCACCAGGACAGCGACAGGAGACAGACGTAGACTAGATCCTATTTGCATGTGTGAGTTTAAGCTAGGAAGGCTAAAGTCGTTGCACACCTATTTCAAGGCGTGATAAAATTGTTCAATCCCTGAAAAAATTTAATATTGCTATTTAAAGAGCAAGTCACCCCCTACAAGAAACTTACTTCACTCCCTCTTCATATTTGAAAAATGCAACAAATGCTGTTGCCTAGCAGACCGAGAGGGCGGAGCCACTAACAAATACATGCACACACACAGGCTCACAATGACATTGTGACATCATAATGTACCAGTTTACATCATAGCATACCTCTTAGCCAATAGCGATGGCAGATTTAAATTCAAATGCAGTGCAGAGTTTTTACCTGACAACGGCACAACACTGACAGTTTTAGGCAGAATATTTAAATTTTAACTAAAATGCACTAAAGTGCAAAATTATTGACGACACGTGTCTACAGCACGATTAGACACACATTTATATAGTTTATCAGATTAAAAAAAAGTTGATTTGGGGGTGACTTGCTCTTTAAAGAGCAAGTCACCCCCAAATCAACCTTTTTTGGCGTGTGTGAAAATCAACTCTTTTTATCTGATAAACTATATAAATGTGTGTCTAATCGTGCTGCAGACACGTGTCGAAAAATAGTTTGCACTTTAGTGCATTTTAGTTAAAAATTTAATTTTCTGTCTAAAACTGTCAGTGTTGTGCCGTTGTCAGGTAAAAACTCTGCACTGCATTTGAATTAAAATCTGCCATCGCTATTGGCTAAGAGGTACCCTAGAACGTTAGCTGGTACCATATGATGTCACAATGTCATTGGGAGCCTGTGTGTGTATTTGTAAGCGGCTCCGCCCTCTCGGTCTGCTAGACAACAGCATTTGTTGCATTTTTCAAACAGGAAGTGGGAGTGGAGTAATACTCTGGTAGGAGTGACTTGCTCTTTAAAGAGCAAGTCACCCCCAAATAAACTATTTTTTTCTGATAAACTATATAAATGCGTGTCTAATCGTGCTGCAGACGCGTGTAGTCAATAGTTTTGCACTTTAGTGCATTTTAGTTAAAATTTAAAATTTCTGCCTGAAACTGTCAGTGTTGTACCGTTGTCAGGTAAAAACTCTTCACTGCATTTGAATTTAAATCTGACATCGCCATTGGCTAAGAGGTATGCTATGATGTAAACTGGTAGATTATGATGTCACAATGTCGTGAGTGTGTGTATTTGTAGTGGCTCCACCCTCTCCGTCTGCTAGGCAACAGCATTTGTTGCATTTTTCAAACATGAAGTGGGAGTGAAGTACGCTTCTTGTAAGGGGTGACTTGCTCTTTAAGCTATTTCAGCGTGATGCACGTTTTTGTTTTTGGAGTATGTGCTTGTTTGAAAAAAAGGTGTTTGTGTTGCAAAAAGTGAGGTGACGTGTTTTTCTCACTTTACGGCTGATAAATAATTGTTGACATTCAAACAACAACAGAATGCATAGAAACCTCACCAAGCCTTCCCCCTAAAAACAATTAAGATGCTCCAAATCAGACCAGCCAGGTGCAAAGGTAACTCCCACGGGAATATTCCCATCTGTTTAAATCACAGAAACAGTTTTAATGAGAGACCCTCACACTTCAACCAGCATCTGTTTCACAGAAAATCTGCACAACCAGAAGATGTGTGATAAGATGCAAAATCAGATCTGATGACTCCATCTGTCTCTCACATGGAGGAGTCCTTCAATATGACTACGTGGAAAAGGCAATTAAGAAGTCAAATAATGAGATTAGATGCAAGAAAACATCAGAAACATCTAAAGATAAACAGCTGAGAAAATCATCATCAGTTTGTTTTGGCTAGAAAAGAGGCACTGGGATATAGATATGTGCTCTAGTTGTAAGAAAGGGTTAGATTTTGACTTCTCAAGGTAACAAAGAAAAGGAAACACACACACACACACACACACACACACACACACACACACACACACTTTGTGATGCCAGCTTGAGTCACTATTCTGACCTAGCCTTTCAAAAGTGTGCTTACATCGCCCCCTTGTGGTCAACCGGAAGTTAGGTTTAATGTTTTTACAATAGAAAATAGGCAGTTTTATCGGTGTATCGAATAAAAGAGAAAAATCAGCTGCGTTAATAAAACAAATTAAGTTGTGTTTACAAATAAGGGTAAACATTTGTATTTTATGAAAATGAGATTTTTGTGGTTACGGTTCTTCTTACTTTGAAACGGAGGTAGGAACCATCAGCAGTTGCTTGTTTCCTCAGGCGGAAACGGACGGTTCGCTGAAGGAGCAAATCAAAATGGCGAGCCAAGAAGAGTCTGTGAGGGAGTTCGTTGCTGTTACCGGTGTGGAAGAGGAGAGGGCCCGGTTCTTTCTGGAGTCCGCCGGCTGGAACCTGCAGGTGCGGCTTTTCCGCCTTTCTCTGTAGAGTTGCGGTGATCCAAGCGTCAGTCTGCTCGAAGGAAACTGCGGGTCCACGGCGTGTGTCGACGTTAGCCGCTGCTCCCGTCAATTTGTGCAAGTCACCCTTTGAAAATGGCCTTTCGGCTTTCTGACACCGGCAGAGAAGATGTCGTCCGGTCACCCCGCCGACACTCCCCGGATAACATGGATGTTATTTGTTCTTTTGGCGTGCGTGTCATCTTTTGAGTTTCGGTCCAGTCCACCGCGATTCCAGTAGCCAGTGGTAGCTAGCAGCGTTAGCCCCCTGTCACGCTACGTTTGTTATTTGACGCAGGAAGATAATCTTACTCTAAACATGCCGGTCATCAGATCGGCTGAAGTGTTTGTGTTAATGGGGGCTGGTGGTGGACGTAGGTCTGTTCATGTATTTAGTTATCAGTAACGAAAATGAAAGTAAACGATCAAGAAGTCGCTGCTTGGGGACACTTGCTCGCCCTGAGCTTTGTTGTGAACATGCTAGTGAAGGTAAGGTTAGTGTTCATGTGACGAACAGAGGCGCTGCGACACTGAAATATTGGAGACTGAGCCCAGCTCAGATATCCCCAAACATCACATTTAGGTATTTTAAATTAGTTAATCTTTTCAACAAGTTTAAACCTCATTCAAACTGTTTCCATAAGTATTTAACAAGGTTCTTTTTTTTATTCGGACGTGTAGGGTTGTGTTGTGAGTTTGCCATGACATGTTTCAACCGGCGACCGCGGTCTTCATCAGAAGTTGTGTGATGCGTCTTTATCAGCTGTTCTTCTGGTGAACAGCTCCCTTGCTGTGTGGTAGCAACTCCACCACACAGCAGAACTCCTCCAGGCTTGTATGATTTGAGAAGATGAAACATCAGCGTTGCAGAGCATAGTCAGCGGTAGAGTCATCTTGCTGTTAACCAATCAGAGGTGAGATGTCCAAATATCAGGAAGTAAGACTCCAAATCCTGCCGTCTGAAGCTGTGCTCTGATCTGGCAGCCCTCTAGATCCTGAAACAGGCACTCCAGGGCATTTTGTACCCAGAGTACGACTTGCGTGTATTCCTACTAGAGACCACTGCAGATGTATTGATTAAACGAATGAACCACACCTTTAATCAACAGCACGCCTCCCAAATAAAAGAGTGCTGAAGACATGAAGCAGATCCCAGAAGGTTTTGCAGAAGACAAAGATGTCTGACAGATTTTAATTCATGGGAGGAGATAAGAGGGAAGTGTGGTTTGTAGGTGGTGACTGCATGGTGGAGGAGAATGAGGGAGAAATTTTGTGCATGTTAAGAAGTCTGAATGACACGTAAACAATACAAATACCCCTCCCAGAAAGGCGCTACGCCTTCTGTTGTCCTGGCAGGGAATTGCTTTGGAGAACTCCGTGTCTCCACACCCGAGCCGACAGAGTCGTATAAACTAGGCTTTAGACGTGTCTCCGAGTCAGTGAATGTAGTCCTTTTATAAGGTTTGCTTGTATTTCTGTAACATTTAAACATCGATGTTTCCTCTCAGCTTGCACTTGCCAGTTTCTTTGAGGATGGAGCCGATGATGACATCATTACTCTTCCTCAGCCCGAGGGAGGCTCTTCTGTGTCTCGGTCCACAGGCCCCAGGTGAGACCTTTCACCTGTTGGTTAATTAATGGGACGCTTTGTTCTGATTAGATTTTATAACAGTGTTTATCTGCAGTAGTCAGCCCAGAGTGACCTCCTTCAGAGATCTGATGCACGAGGCAGAGGATGAAAGTGATGAAGAGGAAGGCCAAAGGTTAGTCTCAGTTTCAGATACAAACAGAAGGTTTCTTAGCGGCTTTCCTTCATCCTGACCTCTGAGCCAAACATGAAAACCCATTAAAGAAGACCGAATGGGTTTATTGGCTCATGGAGGAGAAGCTTTGTTTGGTTGTTTCCCATGATGCCCTTTGTGGCTCTTTTTTAAACGCTTTGGTTAACCTTCACAACCTCACGCAATCTGAACAGTAAAGAGTCCCGCCTACAGGAGAGGAATCCAGAATGCACCAAACTATTTTTGGTCTCCACTCGTTTACTGAGAGTTGGTCACTTTTCTGCTGCGTAAGCAGATTCTCCTCTGGTGCAGAGGGATGGTTGCTAGGAGACCATGTGCCTTTTCAGGACAATAACAGTTAATTGTGAGTAGTACTATAAGTATTAATACATGTGTGAAAACTCGTTCTTAGCTTGTTGTTCGTGTAGCTTTTTAAAAATGGACGTGTGAGTTAAAGATGAAGGATGAACGTCTGAAAACTGGTTTTCTGTGAAACGAGCATCAAGCCACTTCTTACAGAAACACATTTGATTAGATTCTTGAAGAGCAAGTCACCCCCAAATCAACGTATTTTTCTGATAAACTATATAAACGCGTGTCTAATCGTGCGTAGTCTATAGTTTTGCACTTTAGTGCATTTTAGTTAAAATTTTAATTTTCTGCCTAAAACTGTCAGTGTTGTGCCGTTGTCAGGTAAAAACTCTGCACTGCATTTGAATTTAAATCTGCCATCGCTATTGGCTAAGAGCAGGGTGTCCGCGGGGTTTTAAAAAGTATTAAAAAGTGATAAATAAAAATAGTCAAATTTAAGGCCATTAAAAGTGTTAAATTTGGTCTCAGAGGTATTATTTTTTCCAAGTTAGGTATTATTTTTTTCAGACTATCAGGTGTCGTATTCTGAACATCGACATAGAAATATATTCCGAATGAAATGTTTTGAACAATTCTAAAAATAAAACAAGCCGATTATTTGCTCCTCCCACTTGAGCTGCCCTGAGTTACAAATGAAGCGCTCCATTGCCAACTTAGCGACTTTGATGCTATTTCTAACAGCTTTTCAGACCCCCTTCTTGGCTTTTTAAATCCTAAAAGTACCTAGCGAACACCTCAGAAACATCTCTGGTAACCCTTAGCTACTTTCTGGATAACTGTCGTCGACATTTCCTGCTGCAGGTTAGCTAAACACTCCGCCTGCGCTCCGGACCGTTCTTCAGGACATTAGGAAAGGGAATGATGTAGTGATGTGTCAGTCGCTAAAGAAACGGCTCTCGGAGCCGGTTCCCTGTTGGAGTAACCAGAGTGAGTGACACACACACCGTACCTGCGGGCTCCTGAGCCACTAAAAACGGCTAAATGTGCGCGTGCGGCGCGCTAAACACACGTGCAGCTTGCCCCGATTGCTGTGAGACCGGGTTGGGGGGTGGGGGGTGCAGCTGTGGTTGGGACAATTATTACATTAACTGATGGACTTGTAAATAAATAGTTTATAAATAAGGTAGAAATAAGTTCCTCACGTTGATAACTAATCTCTCTGAGGACACGGTGCTAGTGCATGCTCCTACAGCACCTTGACACGACTCAATAAATGTTATGCAACATTTTGTGAACATCAATTTATTTGCATTTATTTGTTATAAATGCCTCTGTATAATTCTTGCTGTCAGTATTTGCAAGATATTGGTATTTGGGTCTGTACTGGTTAGACTTAAATGAGTTAAACCAAGGTCTATAGCCCTTGGGTCATAAACTATGAGCTATAAGTATATTGGTCTTTTTATACTGGGAATCAGGAGTTCTTTTAGTGATCATCTTGTTTCTTGTTTATTTTTGCCCTGATTGTGCCCTGAGCAGTTTTATGACTGAAGAAAAATAAATTAAAAAAATCTACATAAATTGAAAAATCGTCTTAAATAATCGAGATCTCAGTTTCAGTCACAATAATCGTGATTATTGTTTTTGCCATAATTGAGCAGCCCTACTTTAGCATATCCGGTCACATTATGATGACGTCATATTCAGTGGTCGTTCTGCATCATTTCAGGCCCCGTGGTCAACTGTCTGAACCGCTGAAAAGAAGTGCCTGGCATATTTTCTAAGTAAAATAAATATGCGCAATACGTTGTCAACATCAGTGAGTCTCTAAGTCTATGCTTTTTGTATGTTATATATGTTAAAATATGTGTAAATAGGTCGCTGATTAACATTTGCAATTTAGTGTTGTGATGGTTTTAAAAAAATTCTGAAGGTAGTAAAAAAAAGTATTAAAAAGTAGTAAATTTTACTTAAGGATTGCTGTATATACCCTGAAGAGGTACCCTAGAACGTTAGCTGGTACCATATGATGTCACAATGTCGTTGTGAGCCTGTGTGTGTGTGTGTATTTGTTAGCGGCTCCGCCCTCTCGGTCTGCTAGGCAACAGCATTTGTTGCATTTTTTCAAACAGGAAGTGGGAGTGGAGTAATACTCTGGTAGGGGGTGACTTGCTTTTTAACCCTCTGGGGTCCAGGGTGTAATTTGCCGTTTGTGACTAATTTAGAGTTTTCCTTTGTATTTCCAAAATAAAAACCGTAACCACTGCCTTATGTGCCTGGTGGACATTTATCCTTCTCATCATCCTTTATATAAGCCTAATAAAAGCCTACTAAACTGCAGCGACAGTATATCTGTCCAGATCTCTCCAAAATATGAAGTTTACGTCAATATCTGTCTAATTGTTTGTTGTTACTCCGTTCGCGCCACTCCTTTCCCCGCCAAGCGGCTCCTTTTTGCGCACATCTCGTTACTCGTGCAGCCCTCCTCTCTCTCTCAGCTACATAATGATGCTTTTTTATCAGTTGAATATGTGAGACTTCCACCAACAGCAAAAGGATCTCATGTTTTTGTGGGTTTTTTAATGTTCACAAGCACATTCCCTCTCACGGATTACTAAACTGCTGTTTGGACAAGTTATCAGATTGTCTAAAAATAGGTCGTTTTTTAGTTTAGTACAACTCAGCTTTTACGTTGCCTATTAACACAATTTGAAAACTGGGGTGTAGTTTATAATCTCCTTTTTAAAGCTGAATTGAAACCGAAACTCAGGGAGGCGGAGTCTTGCTGCTACAGCGTCCCAAGTCAGACCTGTTCAAAAGACGCATCCATGAACCCCAGAGGGTCAAAGGCCCAGAGGGAAAACGTGAAACACTTTGACTCGTTTTTCTAACTGAGTTTAAAAAAACAAACAAAATAAAAGTAGATAAATAACTTACCTAAACGACTGTAGTGGGATTAAATAGTGACTTTAATTCACCACCAGCAGTTTGTCAGGAAAGCTTAATTGTGAACTCAGATCTGACGTGTTATTATTGGTGTTACTAGTGTTATTATTGGTGTTACTAGTGTTATTATTGGTGTTACTAGTGTTATTATTGGTGTTACTAGTGTTATTATTGGTGTTACTAGTGTTATTATTAGTGTTACTAGTGTTATTATTGGTGTTACTAGTGTTATCGGTGTTACTAGTGTTATTATTGGTGTTACTAGTGTTATTATTGGTGTTACTAGTGTTATTATTGGTGTTATTATCGGTGTTACTAGTGTTATTATCGGTGTTACTAGTGTTATTATCGGTGTTATTAGTGTTATTATCGGTGTTACTAGTGTTATTATCGGTGTTACTAGTGTTATTATCGGTGTTACTAGTGTTATTATCGGTGTTACTAGTGTTATTATCGGTGTTACTAGTGTTATTATCGGTGTTACTAGTGTTATTATCGGTGTTACTAGTGTTATTATTGGTGTTACTAGTGTTATTATTGGTGTTACTAGTGTTATTATTGGTGTTACTAGTGTTATTATCGGTGTTACTAGTGTTATTATCGGTGTTACTAGTGTTATTATCGGTGTTACTAGTGTTATTATCGGTGTTACTAGTGTTATTATCGGTGTTACTAGTGTTATTATCGGTGTTACTAGTGTTATTATTGGTGTTACTAGTGTTATTATTGGTGTTACTAGTGTTATTATTGGTGTTACTAGTGTTATTATTGGTGTTACTAGTGTTATTATCCTAGGAGCCATAATTAAATATACTTTTGGGGCATTAATCGCTAGGCTTCCATTTTTATTGTTTCTCTTTTGTTGTCATGGTGACGCAGCAGGCGTGGCATGGGTGCAGTTTTTATTGCCCGCTACAGTTCGGTTAATCACGTTACATTTCACAGTTCATACTAGTTTATTTACCTTGTTTACACGGTCGTGTTTGACCCGAATCCGTGGAAGTTGCTCCTGTAAACGGCTGTAATAAACTGAAATGCTTTCCACCGCTCCGAGTTACCGCACCAAACCCATCCTGTGCCTCTGCAGCCGTCGTGGAAGTCGCTACAGTCTCCTTCTGCTTAGACGGAGGGTCCTGGTTCCGTTTCACATTCCACACTGGGAATTTGACCACTGCTTGTAATAAAACGCCATCACACCGTTTGTAAATAATGCCGCCCTTAACGGCGTCAGACTATCATTTAAAGCACTTAGAAGGAGAACCTCCACGTTTATAAACCGATCGTCCAGAATGGCGACACAAAACCTCTTTGAGCTTTCAACGGCTGCATCTTTTATGAATGTTCTGCATGGTTCCGATGGGATTGTTGCTTCATCCTGGTTTCCTGACAGGTTTTTCGCGGGAGGGTCAGAACGCAGTGGACAACAGATTGTTGGACCGCCAAAGAAAAAGAGCTCCAACGAGGTGGTGGAGGATCTGTTCAAAGGGGCCAGAGAGCACGGAGCTGTGCCTTTGGACCGCAGCGGGAAAGGACCGGGAGAATCCAGCAGAGCGAGGGTAACGGCCGTCTCCTCCTCATCAGCCACCAGCAGCATCTTTGTCTCTGATCTGCTTTCCTTCCTTGCTGTTTTTCCGTCGTGCCTCCGGCGGTTTTCCAGGCTTTTGTTGGGGGCGGTTACAGACTGGGAGCAGCTCCTGAGGAGGAGTCGGCCTACGTAGCAGGAGAGAGACGCGCCTCCAACAGTCAGCAAGATGTGAGTCTTTGTTTTGATCCTGAACTTAAACCAGGAAAATGAAACACGATCCGTGGCTTTGTTTGGAAAACAGGAGGTATTATTATTTATACTCCAGGATTTTAGCTGCTTAGTAACGATTGATTCAGTTTGTCTGGAATCACCAGTCAGAAACTCGAACTCGAGTCTTTCTCAACCGCACCGAAAACATTCCAGGAAATGTGTTTTGTTAGGTCCACGTGGTTCTGAAGCTCTGGAAGACCGGGTTCAGTCTGGATAACGGCGAGCTCAGGAACTACAGCGATCCGGAGAACGCAAACTTCCTGGAGGCAATCAGAAGGGGGTGAGAAGCGACGAGGTCATAACCCCCACCCCCCACCACTGTTTTACTCACCTGTTGGCTTTATCCTGCAGGGAGATTCCTCTGGAGTTGAGGCAGCGTTCCCGAGGAGGCCAGGTCAACCTGGACATGGAGGACCATAGAGACGAGGACTTTGTCAAACCCAAGATGGCTTTCAAGGCCTTTGAAGGTGAAGGCCAGAAATTAGGAAGGTAAGGACATGGGACCAGGAAACGGGTCTTAATGGTTCTCCCTGGGTATGAAACCTGTTTATTTAGGGATCAACTTCGTTTTCAGGCTCATTTAGAATAAAACAGGTTTTCCAGTTGATCGTGTGAGACGATGTAAGCAGGTTCTCTCCTCTAGTGCCACCCCGGAGCTGACTGCAGCTCCAGACGTCTCCCAGCAGGACCGGGCTGCTAATGAGGCTCAAGCCAGCGCCTCGGTGACCCTCGACCCCTCTCAACCCACCACTAACATCCAGATCCGACTGGCCGACGGCGGCAGGCTGGTACAGAAGTTCAACCACACCCACAGGTGAAGCAGGAGCTGTTTTAGGTGTTGGAACGGATGTTTTCATCGGTGGTTTAGAGCCGAACCAGGCTGGTTTTAGAGACCTCCGCTGCTTTTTCGTGTCCTCTGGAAACCAGTGGCTGGAACACACCAGACCTGGTTTCATCCCAGCAATCAGGAGTCCAAGACCCTTTCAGTAAGGTTGACGTGTAGCAGCTTGTTTCTGATTTTCCGGTCAGAGGTGAGCCCCTCGGAACGCTCAGCTCCGTCTGCGACAGAAACGGAATGTTCCTGTTCCCAGAAACGTTCCTACAAAGCGGACCAAAGGGTTTTGTGTCCGTACGCTTTCACACGGAACCGCGGTACGCAGCTTATCTCGCCGTTGGTAGAGCGACGGGTCGCGTTGGTTTACAAAAACTCCAGAAGGTTAGAGAGAACGTTCCTGATTAACAACGAGGTGAAACTACATAAAAAAGAAAGACTGTCTCTTAGATCAGTTAAACTAACAGAACACCGGACCGGATCTTGTTTCTCCGCAGGGTCTCGGACCTGAGGCACTTCGTGGTGGCGGCCCGGCCCGCCATGGCCGCACGCGAGTTCGTCCTCATGACCACCTTCCCCAACAAGGAGCTGTCTGATGAGAGCCAGACGCTGCAGCAGGCCAACCTCCTGAACGCCGTCATCGTCCAGCGGCTAAACTGAGGCTGGGCGCGCCCCCCTCCCCGAGGGAGGAGAACACGGACACACATGTGGACTTCTAGTTTCTGATTTTTTGTTTTTCTAAAATAAAATGTTTAATTCAGCTTCCCAGCTTAGCCCTCCGCCTGTCCTCTGAGGACTCATGAGGACAGAAACAGTCCTGGTTTCCATCACTGGTTTTGGTGGAGAAAAACCACAGTCCACCTCTCAAAGACAGGTTTCCTCCTCACTCGTTTCCACTTTTATTTTAATCTTTGCTAATCTTAATCTGGCCCTTGAACAACGTTTACAGTCGGGAGCTTCTGCAGACCCTCCCACCAGCAGATTTCCTCCGAACGACACAAACCACACAGACGGTGAGTCGTATCGATGCCGTGGTTTTGTTTCCACATCTAGTCGTCTGTAAGGATGTAACTTGCTCCTGAACAGCTGACGCCTCCAGCCTTACTCCCCTCCAGAAACACACCTGTCTCTTTGTCTAAAAGCAGATGGATTTATTTTTTTAGACCGTCCCCGGCCCCTTGTTTGCTTTCTCCTGCAGATGGTTGATTTTTCCCACTTACTCAACAGCATTTTGATGCAGACTGGTGTGAAACCGACAATTCAGCTTTATCATCAAACTGCTGAGCCGAAGAGCATCATCATAAACACTTAGTAGATGTTAAATTCCTCTAACACTGACATCTATGCATCCTGGGGCAAAACACAAGTATGTTGGCACCTCTGATTAAAATAAACTCATTTTATGGTTGATGTATAAAGAACCTGCTGTCCTGTGCTCTTTAAAGTAACACAGAGCAGTTTCCTGCTCCCCCTGCTGGTTGAAAGAGGAATTACAGCTGTCGTTAACAACCCTGCCGCAGCTAGCGCTAACAACCAGCTAACACTAACGTGAGCCATCTGATATTAAATAAACCACAAAGTAAAAAGATCCACATCGTTGGACAAAAATAATACTTTAACATCTAGTAGCAACAAAGCCAGGTCACCATCAGTCTGATTTTGTAGCCTCCTTTAGCTCTCAGACTAGCGTATGCCGCGCCGATGTTCACTCTGGTTTTAGCTCTTTGCTTCACCTCCAAAACTTTACTCTCTTACTTCTACTCCCAGGGTTTGCCATGATGCTAACAGAAATGTAAACTTTTTTTCTTTTTGTGCTTTATTGAAAATCAGCAAACTGGAAATAATGACCACTAGCATAACAGCTAACAGCCGTAAAGCAGGTAAAGAGCGCCCCCATGGAGCCCCTATACCCGCTCTGGTCAGCAGAAGACTCCAGAGTCATGTCAAAAATGAAAAACTTCAATGTTAAAGCGCTAGCTTAAAGTTTAAAAACTATCAAGTGTTACTTTAAAAAGACTAGGTTATTTAGTATAATAAACACCTTGAACATTAGTAACATTTGTTGTCTGAACTTATTTTTAGCTGCTCAGATCATTTTAATTTAGTGTTGGCAAAAAGCGCTGAATGTAGATATTACAACTGAATGTCTAAAATTACAATTATCTATGTTGATCCACAGCTTAGCGTACATTTCCTGTGGGAATTCTGGATTTCCTCATTGACAAATATTAAGCCCTGTATGTAGGGCTGGGCGATACAGCCTAAAGTCACGATATATTGAGGAGTTTAGCTCGATAACGATAAATGGACGATAACTACAGGGAAGCGCAGAAACAAATGTCAAATAGATGGGACTGTCACGTGCATCACACTGAGCAACATTTTTACGTGACTCGAGGTGGTTCCGCTTCGTAAGGGGACATGAATGTTGCCAACCTTCACACATATTTTAATTTTTTTCTAGTATCTACAGCAGGGGGCAGTCTGCCCCCTCATCCCGCCCCATTGTTGATTCGCCCCTGGATACTGTCGGTATTTTCTTCTCCATGAGGTTTTATTTTTGAAGAACCAAAGCGGAAGCGTTGCTGTTTACGTGGTGAGTGACGTCAGCTGCGCAGCTGAGAGGAGCCTCAATAGGAGCGAGCAGACAGACGGGCTGCAGGAGGAGCTCACCGGGTTCAGGCACGGCAGCGGCTCTGGGACACGCGCTCACGCATTCACGCACCCACACGCAGCGCTGAAATGGGAGTGGAAATCGAGACCATCACTCCGGGTGACGGTAAAACATAAATAAAGCTGTTGCGTGAGAAAGCGGCTCCGTAAGGAGGTGCGCGGCTTTCAGCTCCTTGTTTGGTTTCTCCGCAGGCAGAACTTTCCCCAAAAGAGGACAGGTCTGCGTGGTGCATTACGTGGGTGAGTGTTGAGACATTCTGCTGGTTCTGGTTCTCGTTCTGGACGGAGGCCGAGTCTGAAACATGTCTGAGATTATAATCCTCTTGGTTAGAGTGCGCGGACCCCGCTGAGACGCACAACCCAGTTTGATCGGCTCAGATTACCAGTCACTCATACTGGGCGGTTTGACAGCTGAACCCAGATCACCTCTGGCTGGGTCTTTCATTCTGTGGATTTGTCCGGAAAGCTGCACCGGGATCAGTTTGGTACGTCCTCGAGTCTGGATCAAACGCAGCGCAAAAACGCGTCTGTGCCAAAAACTGCCCTTGGCGCAATAGTGTCGTTTGGTGGTTCAACAAAAATAAAATATAACTAATAAATAAGTCAAATTAAATCTAACGTATTCATTAGTTATATGCCAGGAGGAATCTACTGAACCCAGACAGCGGGGGTTCAAATCCCGTCTGGTTTTCTGTGTGTGCACGTGCGTGTGTGTGAGCGGATTATAACCGTCTGGGAGGCTGGAATAATGGCACCCTCACTGCGTTGTTCAGCTTGGTTCCCTCTGAAGCTCATCTCCCCACAGGAGCTGAAATCAGACCTCGAACATCAGAAATTACAAATTGTATTGATCAGTAATTTTTCAGCAGTAATGGCATTTATTAGGCTGTTATTGGTTATAGGTGGGAACGCTGTAAAATCAATATGTTTCCCTTATTTTGGAATTTTTACAACTTGCGTTCATGATGTGTTTGTGTTTGTATACAGATGTTCTATTTTTAGAAACCACCCACAAAGCAGAAAAGTAAAGAAATAAATGGAAAAAATAATTTCTGAGCACACTTATTTGCAATTTTGCAAAGCATGACGGAGCTTATGGAGAACTTTCTGCCAAAATAAACAATAATAGACAAATAAATAACTGGCAGTGCAAATACAATATAAATGAATGCAAATACGTTCATATTTATGTAAAGGTGGGTCTGCAATCTGTAAAATAAAATTCCGTAACCTTTCCTTGTCCTGAGTGAATTTCTCCACAGAACACAAACACAAATATTGCCAGAGACAAAATATCTGATTTAAAATCCTCAAAAGGGGAAAAAATACAAAATTTTTGCAGAATGGTTCAGTATTTATTCAGTCACTGAGATGAATTTGTGCTTTAGATAAAAAAAATAAATTTGGATTGAAAGAAAAATGAACAATCTGGCCTTTATAAAAGCTGCTGGCGCCTCCTGCTGGACTACGCTGATACTTCCTGGTTTTATTTGTGACTTTTTGTCTTCAATAAAAAACCTTAAAAGGTGTTTTTGACTGAAAAACATTTTTAATCATTATCTCCGATTATAATTGTTCAATCTGAGTGTTTCATGCAGGCTGAACATGAGTCTCCTACACCTATCTCCTGCATTAGCTTCTGATAGAAAACAGACGGTGAAACTCTAGGATTAGAAAATCCTGGCAGATACGTCACCCTCTCACTTAACATTCATGGACTCATCTAGACTCACGACGGGGAAGGCTGTTGTTGGTTTAGCGTCCAGGAAACAGCAGAGAATATCTCTGCTAGTAGAAGCTAACTGTTAGCATTAGTACTCCACCGCAGCAGAACTCCTCCGGGCTTGTGTTGTTAGCCAATCAGAGGAGAGATGTCTCAAATCCTGTAGTTTTCTGAAACCTCTAACTTCTACTTCCTGAAAGAGGAGCACCAGATTTTTTTTTACCACAGAAATGCACTCACAAGGCATTCATTCATTCATAGGGACCACTGCAGATGTGAAATCTTCTGTCACTACATCAAAAACAAATTCTGCAACATCAGCTCTCGAGTCTGGTGTTCTTTCCTTTCCCAGAAAGTCCAATGGGAGGAACGAGCTCCGTAGCACAAACCTGTTTCTGTCTAAATGATGTAGCTCGGCTCTAGTTTCTCTGTAGAACCGAGCCTGAACGACCCAATCTACAGGATTTCCTTCCCTGTCAGCCCACAACACCCCCCCTGAAATCTGTCACGAAACAAAACACTTCGTTACATAACCGAGGCGTGTTTTTGGAATTGGGATTTCTTTGGGTTGGAGACAAACTGCTGCTTGCTGATGGAAGTGGAAAGGTGAAGCTTGGATCGAACCTTTCAGCTCCCACAGATAATTCTGCTTCAGGACAAGACTCCCACTCAGCTGCCAGGATTAAAGGCTGCATCCAGCCTTTTCCCTGATGCGTCTAACGACGAGTTGCACTTACGCACAAGCGCATCACACCAAGCTGCACGAGCACGCTTCCTTGGTGCTAATAACTGGTTGGAGGGCTGCTGCTCTGCAAACGGGCGCTTGGCACGGGCCCTTTCCAGTGTCCTCCAGCAGCTTCCATCAGGGTTGTAGCAAGGATAAAGGAAACAGAACAGAAACTTCTGTTTTTACTGACCTGTAATAAACTCAACTCTTTCTTAGATAAATGGTCTTTAGTTGTAGTCACAGCAAACCGCCCTGGCAGTAAAGATATTAGAACACAGTTTGCCGATCTCAAACCTGTATTGTTTTAAATCTTTATTAACAAGAGGGCAATTACAAAATGACACCACGTAACACGTTTGATTTTAATCAGACGTTTAACAGCTCTTTTCCTCCGTGGTTGCAGGGTTGTTCACAGACGGGCGGAAGTTTGACTCGTCCCGAGACAGGGATAAGCCTTTCCGATTCAAGATTGGTAAACAGGAAGTGATCCGAGGCTGGGAAGAGGGTGTGGTGCAGGTAGGCTCCAGGTGGGGATTGGTCTGTAAATATAAAACGTTATAAAGTGTTGACTTGCTGTCTGGGCTAAAACGATGTGCTGTTTCTTTAAACCTTTCAATAATAAATGTTTTATTGAGATGTCTGCGGCTGCTGCTGGAGCCATTGTGAAATGACCGGGGCTGGTTTATTAAAACCGTTAGTAAACAAGATGTTTTCTTTCCTCCGTCCCTCGTGGCGTACCTAACTCCAGCTGCATTAGGATCCAGCAGCTCTCTAACCGTCATCTGTCTCGTCCACCTCCAGCTGAGCGTTGGTCAGAGGGCCAAGCTGACCTGCACGCCCGACTACGCCTACGGAAACAAAGGCCACCCGGGCATCATCCCCCCCAACTCCACCCTGGTGTTCGACGTGGAGCTGCTCGGTTTGGAGTGAAGCAGACCTGCAGCCCGTGTGTTGTGTAAGTCATTTACCACGGATCGTTCTCGGCTGACTAGTAAGAATCACTACAGTCAGACGGTTGAAATAGTAAAAATATTTCTTGATTTGACAGGATTTTTATGTTGGAAGCAGAAAGATAAGGCGGGTTATGCTGTTGAAACACGGCAGCTGAGTCATCGTATCTCTGACGTGACAACTTTAGTCCTGGTCTGAAGTTTAGTTCATGAAGGCCGCTGGCACTTGAGAACCTTATCTAACACGAAAACGGCTCCAAATCATTCAGTCTTACTAGAAATGTAAGAAAATATCGATACACGGGAATATTGTGACACTTCGTATTATGATACCGGATTGATATTTAACAGCTTTTTCAACTTTTGCTGTATTTGTTTAATGTGGTGCAATTCAATTTCTGACTGCTAGGTGGCAGCAGTGTTAACGGCGGAACGAGATATCGCGATGAAGCCTCCTTCTCACTGGAGACATCAGCGGCGCAGAACGGCCGTTTCTGGGACACGTCAATTTCCGCAGTTAACACAAGGCTAGACAGGAAATCGCACATAGTTTCAGTGTAAAACATCCAGTGATTTTCAGAATAAAAGACTATTGCAGTGATGCAATTTCAAATCTATGTAGATTACGTCAATACGTGTGACCTAACGGCTTCCAGCGCCGTTCAGTAAGTGCAACGGTGTGTATTAATCCTGGCTGCGGAGAGGAACAACAGCACATATGACATCAAACGGGATTTTCTTCTTTTTCATTTAATCAAGCATACAGAAAGATAGCAACACGTATCCAAAAAGGTTTGTTTCTGTTCTGCTTAGCTCAGCTAAGGTTTCACGGGTAACAACGCACCTTTTTTTTAATCAATTAAGCAACTGGAAATATCCACGTGTCTTTTATTTTGAAAGTTTCCAGATGCTTCACACTGCTTTAGCGTTTGACTTCTTGTCTGCCCGATCTGAAGTGCTGAGGCTGAAGTGTTTTGGAAGCGTTGTGCGTAAATAAACTCGATGCGAAATCGATGCATCGCTACGCTTCTGTGACGCTTTCGAAACGCAACGCTTTTGCGGCCAGTGTAAATGCACCCATCCACTACAACACTGGCTGATTGCTGCATGCTGTGCTCCGCGGACCTTACGTAGCTTACATGTTGTAAAGGCCCAGGTGCAGATATTTGGCCCAAGTTTGTTGCAGACGCAAGTGCCGTCGAATCGCGTACATCTTGTGATAAATGCGGGAATGAAGTTGAATTTTAAGTATAAAAAGCAACTTTAAAGTATAAATATTCATTTTTCCATTCGTCTTCACAGTTGACTTCACACCAGTGTGATGAAGAGGAGCTCCGACACGTCTGATTCTTCACTGTTTCACTACTTATTTAATCAAACGAGGACAGTTTGTGTTACCTTGTCTCTGTGGCTGAGGTATGACACGGGCCAGAAACCCACATTCAGATCTGCTTTTTCGTTATGTGTGTGAGCGCTGCTTGTGCTTTTATGTATTTAGGAAGTGTGAGATCACACTTAGGAAATGTGAAGAAGATGCAGATGAAACTTTAGTATCTTCAGTGAGTTTGTTACCGCTGAAACGGCCTGCAGATTTTCTTTTAACGTCTCAGAAACTAAAGTGTATAAAAAATAAAAAGTGGGCGTTTCCTCTGACGGGTGAAGTTAAAGCGTCACAGTGCAGCACAGTAATCGACCCTGATCCTTAAAACGGGACGTTTTTGGACGAAGCCAGTGTGAGACGAGTAGCTGGCGAGAACAGAAACAATCCCGGTTGTAGACGTGTGCCTAACTATGGTCGCCTGGCTCCGCCTGCACGTTCAGGGTCCGATGCAAACGAGCTGAAAGCTTTGCTTTTAGTTTACATTTTTACCGCCTTTTCATCTCCTTTAAACCCTTTTAAAGCCAAACCAGAGTCAGACGGGATCGACTGGGTCGGATCTTTTTTGAAAACAGCCTGAAATAATTTGCCTTGAAAACGAGGTCAACGTTCTCCTCGTCGCCTCGCTGTGTTTAAACTTGAATTCTGTCCTTTTTGGTTCTGAGTTTCTGTCTTTGAAAGCCAAAGCGCTGATCTACAATCTCCTTTTTAGACCTCTGTCTAATGGAAGACAGTGTTGTGTTAAACTCAAGCATCCTAGTGGTTTTTATACACGAAAGATCTCGTTTAAAATGGAGTTTAAAGGAAGGTGTTTGCTGGCACCAACCTTCTGCTCTGTGTGGTGATGATGAAATGTTTCTGTGTGCAGGCTAAACCGACGATGATGTCAAATAAAATACAAAAACTCCAACCGCCTACTGAGCTGTTTCTTTTATTGTTATAAATGGTAAATGGCCTGTATTTGATATAGCACCTTCTACAGTCCTGGAACCCCCCAAGGCGCTTTACAACACAATCAGTCATTCACCCATTCACACACTGGTGGGGATGAGCTACAATGTAGCCACAGCTGCCCTGGGGCACACTGACGGAGGCGAGGCGCCACCGGTCCCTCCGACTACCACCAGCAGGCAAGGTGGGTTAAGTGTCTTGCCCAAGGACTCAAAGACAGTGACAGACTGAGCGGGGCTCGAACCTGCAACCTTCTGATTACGGGGCGAGCACTTAACTCCTGTGCCGCCGTATATTGTTGAAATGATGGATGACTAAAACGAGCTTCCTCAGAGGAATGGGTGGGCTCAGACTTAGCAAAAGGAGCCTGCTGAGGTGCTCTGACTACACATCTGACCTCTGACCTCCAGATGTGTTCTGGGTTCATCCTATTGGAAGGAGACCCCGGGGCAGACCCAGAACTCACAAGTTACATGAACATAAACATAAGTTGGATTATAAATCCTCTGTGGTGTGGAACTGGAGGGAGCCACAGCAGGAGATGTCTGGTTGGGAAAAGGGGAATTTTCCATACCAGTAACCGTAAATACAGAAAGTTTCATCATTTCACACCAGTAGACATCCTACTATGGCGTGCCATTTGTAAAGTCAAAGAGTCAAACTTTAAAAGCAGTATTTCGAGTATTTAGCACATCATAAGAGAAAGAAATGGGAGTGCGTTTTTCAAAATCTGATTTTTACCGTGTTATTCATACATTTATAATTATTCAATTTCACAACTAAATATTTAAGTCTGAACTAAATACTTAGTTTGTAAAATAAATATTTAGCTCCAAATTAAATATTTATTTTCCAGAATAAATATTTAGATCACAGCTAAGTTTTTATTTTTAGCTAAATGTTTACTTTGCAAATTCCATATTTGGGTATATCCCGATAATAAAGGGACCCCATTTCACTGGTTCAAGTCCTATTTGTCAGATAGGCAGTTTAGTGTTCACATTGACAACTTTTCCTCTCCATCTACTCCACTTCACTGGGGTGTGCCTCAGGGTTCGATTCTGGGGCCACTCCTGTTCTCGATTTACTTATTGCCATTGGGGATGATTTTAGCAAACCTTGGAATAAGTTATCACCTCTACACTGATGACTGCCAGATTTATTTGGCTTTCAGGAAACCTGACTCAACTCGCCTTCTCGTTGACTGTGTTACTGCAGTTAAAGGCTGGCTGTCGGAGAACTTCCTTTTCCTTAACGAAAACAAGACCGACGCCATTCTCTTTAATCCAATCAATCCAAAGCATGCACCTGGTGACTTCCCTCTCCGTTTTTAAATTTGAAATCTTGTGTAACCAGTCTGGGAGTGAAACTTGACTCTGATCTGTCAATGAGTTCACAAATTAACGCTACAGTCAGGTCTTGTTATTTTCAACTACGTTGCGTCTCACATTTAAAGTCAATAGTCAAACGACCACAGCTGGAGTCTGTTGTTGACGCCTTTGTCACCTCCCGTTTAGACTATGCCACTCAGTACTTATTGGTGTCAGGGTCTCAGCAATTGAGCGTCTTCAGAGAGTACAGAATGCAGTGGCTAGATTCCTGACAAACACCTCTAGATGTCATACGGGCAAAGTCTGTTTTATTGTGGTTTTCCTTCTAGTGTGGTGTGTTTTTAGTGTGTATTCTTTTTTATTTAGTTTAGTGCATGGAATGCTTTTATTTTGGGGAACCCAGGAAACTGGGAGGGTGTGTGATTTTACTTTGATGAGCTTGGACAGATGACATCCGGACCGGAGCAATTATCTGCACCGGTGGCAGATTAGGAGCGTCTGTTTTTTGGTGGAGACGGTGGCAGCAAGCAGAGAATCGCCGGGTGAAAGGACACCGATCGTCTGTGACGAGGCTTCATGCAGATGTGGGCAGGGTATTCCTCTGCCCTGGCGTGTGGACCCGCGACAGAGGAGGACGACAGCGTGGCGCGGTGACGCGGCCGAGCCAGTGACTGATCTGCAGGAGGAAGCGGCCGATCGAGGGAAACGGCGGTGCGGCAGACGCGCGTCTTGAAGGAGGAGGCGAGCTATCAGGGAAGAGGAAACCAGCGCGGCAGACAAGCGTCCCCAAGGAGGAGGAATCTGCCCCGCAGCGTCCAGATAAGGCTGCAGACTCTCCGGCCCAGTTCTGACAACCGTTTATAGTGACTGTCCTAACCTGGTTTTTTTAAATGATGTTTTAATTAGAATTTTCAATAAACCCCGGTGCGGTGGTTAATGGCTGATTCCTTTGATCTCTGGCAGACGCTCTCAATTTACCTGGTGTAATCCTTGGGTGGGATTTTGTATTTGGTAGATATATAATATAGCCCACCCACCCGGTAGGAAGGTGCCACATAGACGCTGTCACATTTCACCTGTCCTTGCACGCTTGCACTGGACACCTATTAAATATCGTATCCAGTTTAAGGTTTTAACCTTTGTTTACAACACTCTGAATGGTCAGGCCCCTGCTTATCTGTCGGAACTGCTTAAGCCTTATGCTCCACCCAGAAACCTGAGATCGGCAGATCACTTGCTTTTGTGCATCCCAAAAATGAGGTATAAATCTAGTGGGGAGCGGGCCTTTGCGTTGGCTGCCCCAGAACTTTGGAATGCTCTCCCCCTTAGTGTTCAACAGGCCCCGTCACTGGGTCGATTCAAGTCTGTACTGAAGGCCTACTTCTATCATTTAGCTTTTGATCAATGACCAAGCTTTTATTGTTTTCATGTTTTTATTGTGACGCTGTATTTTTTTTGTTATTTTGTTTTTTTACTCTAGTATGTTTCTTTTAAATGTTTAGCTTATTCCCTTTATCTCCTATATGATTTTTATCTTGGGTTTTTTCCTTTTTATAACTACTGTACAGCTCTTTGGTCAGCTGTCATGCTGTTTTTAAATGTGCTTTATAAATGAACTTGGTATGGTATGGTATAAATATTTAGCTGGGATCTAAATATTTATTTGAAAAAAATAAATGTTTAATTTGGATGATGAGCTAAACATTTCGCTCCACATTAAAATGTTTTTTACAAACTAAATGTTTTGGTCCGACCTTAATATTAAGTTTATAAAATAATTACTTAACTCTAAATCACATATTTAGCTTGCCAACTAAATATTTAGTTGGGATCTTAAATATTTATAAATGTATGAATAACATGATGAAAATATGACTTTGGAATATGAACTCCCTTTTCTTCCTCTTATGATTGGCTAAATAACCCAAAGTTATGACTGACCACACACACACACACACACACACACACACACACACACACACACACACACACACACACACACACACACGTTGTTGTTAGCCTCAAGGGCAACATGCCGATTATCACTTGTAAGTCGCTTTGGACAAAAGCGTTTGCTAAATACATAAACATAAACCACACACACACACGCGCGCGCGCGCGCGCGCGCAACAACAACAAATCTATAGGAAGGAAAATAGTTTCGCTCCTCAACTGAAAAACATAACACAGCATTTTAAAAAGTCACGAAGGTTTCAAATAAAACTGGGAAGAAAAATGTAACGGCGAGTCAGATGTCACGTGACCGACACGAGGGCGCGGCTTCAGCTAACCGAGCAGGAAGCTAGAAGTGACGTCACTTTCCAGAAGTCCCCTTCAGGTTTCAGTGACGAAGAAACGGAAAAATAAGCGAGGTCGCTGTTTTCTGAGAGTCGCTACTGCTCCAGCTCACGTCCACACTCACCTTTTACAGGTAAGACTGCTTCCACTGAGCCTTTTGCCGGCGTCTTCCGTAGAATGACACGGAATTTTTATTAGCCATTAACGGTTGTCCAACAAGCTAGCGTCGCTCCGGCCAGCTCCCCTCCTCCCCGCTGTTTATGTCGGAACAAAGACTCTCCGCTAAGCCGCTCTCTTACTTTTATTCTGTTTTCCATTCTTCACTCACGGCTCTGACGTCTACTACCTACTGACTGAGTCGTTGTGGTTAATTCCCCCCATGACCCGGCTAATGGTAGCTAGTGAATTTTTAATGACTACTGTAGCGTTAGCTTCGTTGATGGGAAACATTTTTGTCTGAACTCCAGCCGCGTCTTCCTGTTCTAAATAAATAAACAAACACCGAAAGATGACGGTTTTCTACCGCCACGTATGATTTCTACTGCGGGTTTTGTGGTGTTAGAACACTAAAAGCGCAGCTCTTATATAAACGGTGGATTGTTTTCTGTCTGGGCTTTACGTGACGTACAGGTTTAGGGCGTGGGTTTGTGTGTTTAATGGTTATTTATCCATTTCTCTCCCCTTTCCCCTCCAGCCCATGCAGACCAGTTAGAAATGACCCCATTCTTGAATCACAGCGATTCGTTCAGCCTCTCTGAAGCTAGCTGTCCACTGTCTGCCTTTCCTCCGGTCACAAACGAGGCTAAACGAAAAGTATTCTTTATCTAGGTGACTCTTTAGTGTTTAACACAGCTTTATAGTATTAGTCCATGTTATTACTCAGCTGTATTTAAGGACAGGAAGCTACATAACTGTGAAATTGTCATTCAGCACCTTATTTTTGAATAAGGTGCTGAATGACAAACTTTCCCATTAGAAAATAGGCTTTTTCATTTCACTGCTAACATCTAACAAGTTAAACAATCAATGTTGATTTAAACCAACCGTATTTAAAGTAGATTTTATGTTTATCTTTTTAAACTGCGAAGAAGTTTTCCAAAGAGCTGAAGTACTATCGGATTCTGGGATGATAAAATTAGAAAGGAAATACAAACAAAATGTCTTCCAATAAAAATAAGTAGGGATGCACAATATATCGGTATCGGTCTGATAAATAAAACTGGGTCGATGTTAACAACATACATACATAATACAACATATTTTTTCCATCTTGTTTTCATTTGTTTATTTGCTTTGGTGATCATAATCTTAGACGCGTAAATGTGTGTGGTGTGTGTACATAATAATGTTAATTCGGCTTTGATGATTTTCATTCTATAAAAAAATCTGCTGATTTTAGAAGCATTAATGTCAGTTTATCGGTATCGGCCACATCAGTGATATTAATAACTGTATGGGCCCAAATGTTCATATCGGTCCATCACTGTAAATAAGTCATCTGGAAATAAGAATAAATCATTGTAAAGTTTTTGTGAAGACGTTTAATCCTGTTATCTTGTAAATGTTTCATTCATGCCTGTATAGCCGTGCTACTTATCGGATTCAGGAAATGAAAAGTCGTGGTATTTGTGTCTTTTTGAGGTGACCGTGGAAGGTCTGCAGGACACAAAACGATGTTTACAAACAAGTTTAAAGCTTCGTCTGTAAAATAAATCTGAATTTCACATCATTATTCAGTTATTTTACCTTTTGGGCTCATAGTGCCAGATCCTTCAGCGGCTGCTTCATCCTACATTACTTGCCCGCCTTGTTTCCACTACGGCTGTGAAAAGATAAGATTGTGTCGTCACAAGAGCGGCTCAAAGACTTTCCCAGCCTTTAGGTTTAGTTTTAGAAAAAAACAAAGTGAGCAAACCAACACAAATCAGAAAAGTAAACATCAGGAGGTATAAAATGTCCCGTTGTTCACCAACACAATGATGCTCTTGTCTGTGAGGACTCTGGAGAGTAGAGGCCTGAGTAGTTGGACAAGTGAAATGTTTCAGTGACGTTATTGTGGTCAGAATTTTACAGACTCAGTGTAATTTTGACTATTTGGTGTTAAAATGCATCTCTGACCACAGAGTGTAGAATGATTGTGTAGAATATGAGGAACCACTGTGGAAAATATTCCATATTTGGTGTATTTGGACTTTTATTTTTGTGTTGTTGTTTTCACATTTTTCAGCTTTTGTAAATAGTTTTATTAAAACAAGGTGTGTTTTTGGATGTCTGGTTAATTTTTTTTAAACCAGCGCCTTCCTTCCGTTTCTTCTTCTTCTTCTTTTTTTTTGTTATTGAGGAACACAACTGATGTAACGTCTTGTGATTGTCACACACAGTTGTGTAAGTTTAGTGATTTTCTACGCATTTTTCCAGAAGTCGATGATCTGGCCTTGTTGCTCTTCCAGGGTCGAGCTTTTCTATCAATCTTAGACTTTTTCTGAGTTCTGATTTCATTATGATTCATTACTTTAAAAATACTGATGAGTCGTAAGCAAAAGGTCGTTAGGAAATGGAAGTCAGATGATCGAATGGACGTTAGATTTGGTGACGAATCACTAATTTGCATTTGACAACAGATGGATGTGTGGGAAAACCAAACGAATCATCCCAGTGAGTGCGTTTACATGCAGCCAGTAACCCTTTTAAAACCCGAATATTCACAATAACCCGGTTCCGCACGGCCATGTAAACACAGCCAGAAACCCGGATATGCTCATAACCGGGTTTTTAAAAACCCGGTTACTACACCTGGGGTAACCCTTTTCTAACCCGAATGTTTGGTCGTGTAAACGCATACCGGGATATCCCCATCAAAGCGTGTTCTGCGCATGCTCCGTTCGCAAGGAATCTTGGTCTTTTGAGTAGCGAGACGTCTTGTATGCGCCAGAACACCGGAAGTAAACAAGTTGGGAGCAACATGGCGAGTCGCGGCACAGCACCACACTTTTAGAGTGACGAGGAAACCTCTGTCTTCATCATTCTGGTGAAAAGTATGAACATTATGTCTTTTGTTGATGGCCGAAAGCACAGAGACAGCGAAATATACGCATATTGCGTCTTGACGTAGTCCATACGTCCTGACGCTACCCCAACGTCCGCATTTAAATCGGGTTATGCAAGTTAGGGGTACCTCCTTCTATTTATGCTTGTAAACGGGTTATTCTGATCAACTCAGAAACCAGTATACCGACCTTAACCCGATCATAACCCGGATATTGGCTGCATGTAAACGTGGTCAGTGTGATGATATGAGGTTTCTGATAAAAGAACAGTTTTGAGCAAATAGACAGGTGGAGTGTGATGTTTAGGCCCCGTCCATCCATTCATCATCCATCCGTCCATCCATCCATCATCCATCTATTCATCTTTGATGATACCAGCCCAAACCAGTACTCCACCTCCACCTTGCTGGCGTCTGAGTCGTACTGGAGCTCTCTGCCCTTTACCAGTCCAGCCACGGGCCCATCCATCTGGTCCATCAAGACTCACTCTCATTTCATCAGTCCATAAAACCTTAGAAAAATCAGTCTTGAGACATTTCTTGGCCCAGTCTTGACATTTCAGCTTGTGTGTCTTGTTCAGTGGTGGTCGTCTTCCAGCCTTTCTCACCTTGGCCATGTCTCGGAGTATTGCACACCTTGTGCTTTTGGGCACTCCAGTGATGTTGCAGCTCTGAAATATGGCCAAACTGGTGGCAAGTGGCATCTTGGCAGCTGCACGCTTGACTTTTCTCAGCTCATGGGCAGTTATTTTGCGCCTTGGGTTTGTCCACACGCTTCTTGCGACCCTGTTGACTATTTTGAATGAAAAGCTCGATTGTTCGATGATCACGCTTCAGAAGCTTTGAAATTTTAAGACCGCTGCATCCCTCTGCAAGATATCTCACTATGTTTGACTTTTCTGAGCCTGTCAAGTCCTTCTTTTGACCCATTTTGCCAAAGGAAAGGAAGTTGCCTAATAATTATGCACACCTGATATAGGGTGTTGATGTCATTAGACCACACCCCTTCTCATTACAGAGATACACATCACCATATGCAGACACATATGCTTAACGTAGGAGGCTTTCGAGCCTATAAAGCTTGGAGTAAGACAACATGCATGAAGAGGATGAAGTGGACAAAATACTCATTTGCCTAATAATTCTGCACTCCCTGTAGGGTTGTCACGGTAACCGGTGTATCAGTAAACCCCAGTAAAAAAGTTGACAATAAAAATAACAGTCTTGTTTTTTTAAAACTATATTATCTCGGTGGGTTACCATGGCTGCTGTGTAGGCGCGGTGACCCTTACCAGCCACCGTATCATCTGCTGAAGTTGCCGGCGGCACATGCGCACTTTGTTGTTTACAACCAAAACTTTCTTGAAGCTAAAGCTGAAATATTGACCAAAGGAGGAGACGGCAGCGCTCAGGACATTTATTATCCCTCAAAGAAGACAAAGTGGGAAGAACGGGCATTTTTTGGATATCTGAAGAATGTCGAGGGACAGCTGATAGAAGACGGCTATCCTGTTTGCAGCACGTGCAGAAAAAGTGTCTGTGAAAGGCAGCAACGCTTCAAATCTCATGACACATCTGCGTGACCATCACCCACTACTCTACAGTCAACGCAAGGCAAGCTAACGTTAGCGTTTTAGCTAAAATGCGTGATCCGAGGATTTGGGTTGAGGGAGAATGCAACGAGTCGCTATATAAAGCAGCCGCAGCGCCCGCTACCTGCATATAAACCGTGTCGCGGACACCGCCATGTTGAAATGACGCTATGCATTACGGGGCTCCCAGGGGCAGATAAGAGTTGGTCTCTCTCCGAGAATAATTATGAATTTAACAATGATTACTGCCTGATGACATTTTCCCACATCTGCAAAGCTCACTGGAAGGACACAAACCGAGGACAATATTTCCCTGATATAGGGTCTATTACTCAAGTAAGGGTAAAAAAGTATCTGATTAGAAGGCTACTTGAGTACTGAGTATCATCTGGTCTAATATTTTTAAAATGATGACATCAAACAGACAAAAAATAACAAGTTATGGGCAAATATTGGTATTTTAAAGACTAAAGGGGAAAAATGTAAACAAATAAACAATATAATTACAAAATAACACATTTTAGGCAAAAGTTAGACACAAAGTGAGGACAATATTTCCTGATATACAGGGTTTATTTAGCTGTCTGAAAATGTAACACGTTTAAAAAAAAATACCGCGATAATTTTAGTCACAATAACCGTGAGGTTACATTTTCACGCCGTGACAACCCAACATGCTTCCCATCGTTTCTAACTGCTGGAGAGGATTTTCTCTATAAAGTTGAATAAAGCGATGAGCGAGATTCTCTGACAGAAACGGAAGGAGATAACGGGTCGTGTTTGATCTGAAAGCCTCCGTGAACCGGCGTCTTCTCGTCATCACGAGCTGCAGGACAGAAAAGTTTTATTATAACAGGAGGAAAGGAATGAAAACTGTTGCTTTTATGCTTCTTCATGCGTTCATTTGCAGGGGTTCACATCTCAGAGTCTTTTGGTCCGAGTTTCTAAACTGAAGTTTAAGTTTTAGAGTGAATGAGAAGTCTCCTGCGGACGTTCTCGTCACTCACAGCTGTTTGTTTCTCCTCAGCATGTCTCTGTATCCATCCCTGGAGGACCTGAAGGTCGACAAGGTCATCAAAGTAAGTCGAGCATGTTTTTACCGTTTAATGTGTGATGATTGTCCCGCTGTGATTCTTCCTACAGCCTGAAGCACCGTTACCACCAGAGCTGATGTTCCTGGAGCTCCAAACTCGGGAATGATTCAGTCTTTAGAGGAACAAAAACACCCAAATGACCAAAGAGGTCAGGTTTCTGTCCACGCCGCGCCACCTGTGAGCTCAGCTGGTTTAGAGGCTGTTGCTTTTATCGTAGTTTAAAAAGTGTCGTGGATATGAAAGGGTGAAAACGTGGTTTCAAATGCTGTCTTTGTTTTTGTTTTTTTATTTAAATGAGACTTTTTTCCTTTTATCAGGTCAGTTTATATGGAAACCGTTTCATGGAAAATGATAAAATTTGAATGATTTCCAGTTAAATAAAAACTAAATAGTTTTCTTCTAAGAAGCCATATTTTCTCTGCGTTTGTTTGATTTATTTGATGGAGGATCTTTGGGTTTTGACTCTTTTTGCACCACATGAGCATCAAGACTTTTGCACGTTTCATACAAAGTTCTAATCACACTTTCTTGGTTATTCTGGGTTAGTGTTGGCTTCACGCTGGAGGAAACCGGACTCATTTTCCCTTCATTCAGAACCAGAACCAGCTGATTGGTGTGGTTATGTTTCAGGCTCAGGCCCAGTTTGCCCAGACCACCGCTCCGATGCCGGCCATCACTGAGGGACCCTACCAGCCCGAGTCTGCTGCTGCTGCTGCGATGCCAGGATCCAGTGAGTCTCACCTGTTAGCGTGTTTTATGTTGGAGCGGCCATCTTTGTTATTTGCTGGGAGAAGACATGTTGTGCTGGCAGATCGGAGCAGGACGTGGACGTAGAGACATGCCTCAGATGATGACGCAGCAACAGCTTAACACTTTGCATGGCTTGTCTGTCTCTAGTGTTTCTACTGCTGTCCTCTACTTGTCCTCTCATTCATGTGGAAACTAGGCCACATGAGACATTTGTAAAACCCAGAACGTCCAAAAGACGAGCAGAGCTTAGCGACTGCACAGCTTCTCTCCTCAGCATCTCATTTTCTCCATCTTTCAAATCCTCGTCTCTATTTGGATGCAAAGTCCTGTGGGGTTTTTCCTCCTTTGTTTTCACCTCAGCAGAGCTCGCCATGAGTCGTCATGGCGACTGGCTCTGGCAGTTGTGCTGGGATAGTGGGTGGGGGGGCTCAGGGGCATTGGGGATTGGGACGAGCTCAGGAGGAAAACTCCAATGACGGGAGTGTGTGTGTGTGTGTGTGGGGGGGGGGGGGGGGGTCTAGATGGAACAGCAGAACCTTGTATTAAGGTTTAATTACGAGGCTGAAGTTAGCTTCCGATTCCAGCTTCCGATTCGGGAAACGGCTAAAGGGCCATTACACCCAAATTTTCTCTACTCTGACCATCTTTAATCTGCTCTAGCTCAAAAACTACAACAGCCACACTGTTCAAACCTGTTCTAGATTATTCTACAATAAAGGCTTCACAAATCCCAAACAAGGTTGTATGCAGTCTGCTGTTATTGTAGAATAATCTAGAACAGGTTTGAACAGTGTGGCTGTTGTAGTTTTTGAGCTAGAGCAGATTAAAGATGGTCAGAGTAGAGAAAATTTGGGTGTAATGGCCCTTTAGCCGTTTCCCGAATCGGAAGCTAACTTCAGCCTCGGTTTAATTCATCTCAAAAGGAGAACATAAATTTAGACTAAATCTGCATCTGACGCTTTTGTGTCTGCGGGTTTCTCCGCTTGCAGCCGTGTGGATAAATGTGGGGCCACGTGTGGGCGAGGAGGGAACCGAGCCGCTGCTTCTACGTTCCCCAGGAATAACGGCTTTGTTTTTTTTTTTTTTTTTTTTTTTTGGAGGTTTAGATGAAAAATGCGGCTTTAAATCCACCACATTCTCACTTTCCCAGTTTCACCGCCGGTTTGAATAACGTGTGTGTTCAGCGTATTCATGAGTGACCCGGAAGAGGAATGGGCGCACGTTTCTTCAGCTGTAACTACGGCGGCGTCGCGGTGATGACGGGGAACGGAATAATCGCCTCACTGGGCGTCAGCGCGACGTGTTTGAGTGGAATTGTGACTAATAATAGTTGCTTTATGGCTTCCTGAACGACTTCTGGAGAAGCGAGATATCCGAATATCAGGAAGTAACTCCAAAACCTGCCGTCTGCTGCTCCCCCCTCACTTTTACTTCCTGGAACAGGAGTGCCAGCGCTTCTCCCCACAGAGATGGACTCGTTTCTACTAGAGACCACAGCAGATGTGTTGAAAAATGACAGTTGAACTTGAACATCGTGAAGTTTTAATAATATAAATGAAATATATGAAAATTATAACAGTTTGAAGGAGAATGAAGACGTTAAAGAAGGACGGCGGATTATTTATCCTCCTGGAACGCTGCAGTTAGTCTGATTTAACATTTCTGTTTCCCACCATCTGCTTCTTTTTCATTCATCTTCTCCTTTTTTCTCCTGTTCCTCCAGGTTTGTATCCCAACCTGCAGGAGCTTGGAGACTACATGGGGCTGTCCCTCAACAGCGAAGAAGTCCAGAGGAACCTGGCCTTGGTGCCCATGGCCGACAACGTGAGCATCATTATGCTGTCGTGATGTTCTCGTTTCTGCAGCTTCGGCCTTAAAATCTGGTTAATGAAACCAAACGGAGGCGTAAACGCCACGACTCGACTAGAAACGCGTTTAAATGTTTCAGCTCTTAAGACTGTCAGGATCTGGAGGTGTGTGTGTGTGTGTGCGTGTGCGTGTGCGTGTGTGTGTGTGTGTGTGTGTGTGTGTGTGTGTGTGTGTGTGTGTGTGTGTGTGTGTGTGTGTGTGTGTGTGTGTGTGTGTGTGTGTGTGTCTTCCTCCCACATAACTCGTTATGATGCAGCGTTCTTCTAAAGCTGAATTTTAAATCCTTTTCCTCGTTTTCTCTCCGCCATCGTTTGCTTTTCCTGACTCGTTACTTTGCCTGTTTATGGTTCGGTCCTGCAGCAGGTGGCCGTGCCCTCCGTGTCCGGGGTCGGGGCGATGGTTCGACCCGTGACAGGGGCAGACATCGGCATCAGGAGGGCAGAGATCCGCCCGGGGCTTCGAGAGGTCATCCTCTGTAAGGATCAGGATGGGAAGGTGGGACTGCGGATCAGGACCATCGACAACGTGAGTCGGCGTTTTTAAACTTGTGACTCCGACCTGGTTGTTTATTTATGGAGTCTGTTTGACACCAGAGCACCAGAACGGTTCCACGTTTACTTTCTTCTTGGCTCTGAACATTCCATCTTTTTCCTCTCAGGGTCTGTTCGTCCAGCTGGTCCAGGCCAACTCCCCCGCCGCTCTGGTCGGGCTGCGCTTCGGGGACCAGGTCCTCCAGATCAACGGGCAGAACTGCGCCGGCTGGAGCGCAGACAAGGCCCACAAGGCTCTGAAAGCTGCAGCGGAGACCCGCATCGAGATGGTGGTCAGGGACAGGTGACGACCAACGCATTTGTCCAGGGTTCCATGCTCCTGTGGATTTTTGCATCGTTTCCTCTTCTCGCCGGACTTCCTCTGTTCATTTTCAGGGTTTAGATCAACAGTTTAAAACTGCAGTCCAGCATTTACTTGCATGAACATGTCATTTTGTGATTTTCTGATTACTTTTCTCCTCCCCCAGACCGTTTCAGCGCACCATCACCATGCACAAGGACAGCTCGGGCCACGTGGGCTTCATCTACAAGTCTGGGAAGATCACCTCCCTGGTGAAGGACAGCTCCGCTGCTCGTAACGGCCTCCTGACCGAACATTACATCTGTGAGATCAACGGGCAGAACGTCATCGGGCTCAAGGTCGGTCCTGTTGGTTCTTTCACAGCTGATGTTCTGTTTCACAGCACAAACGAAAACAGGATCATTACATTTACCCGCTTCTGGTATTTTCATTTTCATAAAGCACTCGGAAATAATCTGTAAATAAATGTTGATGCTGCTGTCAGTAAGTTTGTCTCACATCAGTCGTTTTAACTGTGGGATTCAACTAGTAACTAAGTAGTAACTAAGTAGTAACTAAGTAGTCTGTGTGTCGTCGTCCTGAGATGCTGTCTGTAAAACCAGAATTTAGTTTTAACACTTTTTCTCCATGAATTTGTCTCAATATGCAAATTTAACTGATTCTTGTCTCGGTGTGTGTGTGTGTGCGTGCGTGCGTGCGTGTGTGTGTGTGTGTGTCAAAGACATGGAGGAAAACTTTAAAGTAGTCTCTACTGAGAAAGCTTCACTCGCACGAGGGATTCACGTTTTCTTTCCTTTTTCCAGGATTCCCAGATTAAGGACATTCTGAACACTTCTCCGACCGCCATGACCATCACCATCATGCCCAAGTTCATCTATGAACACATGATTAAAAGGTAAAGAAAATCTGATGCTGAGGTAAACGGTGAACGTCCTGATCTGTAGAATTAGTTTTTGTTTATTTTGCAGAATATTTTTATTGATCCTTTCGGTTCGAAGCGACCAGGAATTAAAACCCTTTAGTAGACTTTAAAGGTGTGGAGCACTGAAAAATAATTTCAATGATTACTTCTGATTCTAACGGGTCACTCTGAGTGTTTCATGCAGGCTGAGCATGGAAATAGTCTCCTACACCTGTCTCCTGCATTAGCTTCTGATAGAAAACAGACGGTGAAACTCTAGGATTAGAAAATCCTGACAGATCTACGTCACACTGTCACTAACATTCATGGACTCACCCATCTGGACTCACGACGGGGAAGGCTGGTGTTGGTTTAGCGTCCAGGAAACAGCAGAGAACGTCTCTGCTAGCAGAAGCTAACATTAGCATTAGCAACTCCACCACACAGCTGAACTCCTCCAGGCTTGTGTCGTTTGTGAAGATTAAACATCAACGTTGCAGAGCAAACAGTCAGTGGATGAGTCGTGTTGCTGTTAGCCAATCAGAGGGTCTCTGTCTAAAACTTACAAGGAATTCATCCCCACTGGAGACCGCTGCAGATGTATTGATTAGCTCATTCGCTGCCAGCCGTTTCCTAATCGGTACCCCCTGAAACTGGGGCCCAAACGATCTAACACATGGATTTTCTGCTTCCTGATCACGTGACATGTGACGTATGCGGATGAAGAGCTGAGATGTTTGTTCTCACGGTGCGAGGGCTCATTCCAACGGCCACACAGTAAAAGCATGACCACTTTAGTCGTCAATGGCAGTGAACGAGTGAAATGAGCGTTCAACACCTTAGAAACGTAAACCTTTAAACTGTGGCTAGTGAAGCTGACCCTGGCTGAGGTGCGTTTAGGAACACGCTGATGGATGCTGTCGTTGATCTCTCCTCCAGGATGTCCACCGGGCTCCTGCGGTCGGCCATGGATCATTCCGTCCCAGAGGTGTGAGATCCGGAGGTGGAGCTGAAATCTGTCTGGATGTCGACAAACAGGCTCTTCGTCCTTTCCTAAATCCTTCTGTCCTCATATAAAAACACCTCATAACGTCCATCAGTGTAACCCTTTTAAATGTCTTTTTATTCTCGACCTTTTTTATCATCAGTCTGAACGTTAGTTCTGTTTATTCCTTAACCCTTTAGTCTCTTCCTGTTTTTTTATATAAAAGATCAAAAATAATCACTTTTGCTTTCTTCAAGAAAAAATGCACAAACTATCATGAGTCCGGCGCTTCCTCCTCAGCGTGGAGACGAGTCGGAGACCTTCTCTTAATGCTGTAAAAGCTGGTTGGCAGCTCACTTCCTGCACACGTCCTTTGTAAATAATCTGGGCTCAGATTAAACCCCAACAGCAACAAAAACCCCAACCTGAGCGTTATCAGCGCACAGCCCTTAAGCCTGGCCAGTGGGCCGGCTGCGGTCACGGGAATGGCGTGTGTTTTCATGTTTGTAGTTCTCCACACCCTCCAGCAGATGGCGGTCTTGTACAACACCAACCTCTGATGTTTGCACATTCCAGGGGAAAGAGTCCCATAAAATCCAGAGCACATGATTGGACAGGCCGTTTGTTTGGCCGTGTGTTTGAGGGAATCGTTGGTGTTATTTCAAAAGGGGGCTCGACCCGGGCCGACCCGCTAAGTGCACTTTTCACTACCTTACGAGAGGTCGTCGTTCCTGGATCTGTGTTTGCGGTGCCTCGTGTTAACGAGAGAGCTCGCTAGAGAAACTCGTGTGTCAGACACAGAAAATGGCTGAATTATGATGCTGAACTCCTGAGTTTAGATGCTGTCCGAGGCCTTTCCCGCCTTCGTTTCCTCCTCTTGGTGAGCACAGTGAGACTAAGCAAAGCTTACACTTGTGAATTTCTACTTGTCCTCCTTCTGTTGCTGTTCATCTTCGGATGCATGTACTCCTAGTTTTCTGTTTGAAATCTGATTCGATGCTGTCGTTCTGTAAAAAATCTTAGCAAATCTTAAAGTTTATATACGAATGAAACCAAGATAATATTGTAAAACAAATAAAGTCTTTCTGTTCACGTGGTGTGCTCTTCGTTTTCTTCACAGGGATTTTTGGAGGAAGTGTGTCGACATCCTTAAGGACTGATGATCTTAAAAGAAATCACAATTCAGGCAGATTTTAAAATAAATATTATGTCCAAAAATTGCATTATACGATTAACTAAAAATATTAAAGGTAGCATTCACTCGTTTAGAATTTCTGGTCTCTAGAACGAACAAATGCCTTGAGTCGTTTTCTGTGGGGAAACAAAGCTCTGGCGCCCCAGTTTCAGGGGGTAGAAGTTAGTTGGAAAACAGGATTTAAGCTTAGCTTATACTTCTCTGTCAGCAACTTTGCGCTCATGCTCCATGTCTGTCGCTAGATATGTTCAGCTCTCATTTTACGTTTTTGAGGGGGAACGGCGGTGCTGTTGACGAAGCAGCGTTCTGACCAATCACAGCCTCGCTGTCTCCTTAACTTTTGACGGATATTTGGAAAAGGGAGCTCTACTCCATCTGTCCTTGTGTGCCTGTTGGAGAACCCTTGCGACGACGGATAATGGCGTTGTGTGTTTCCATACCAACTATAAACTAGCCGTAGGAGTGTTACTCATCAATATTGACGATATTAAAAGTCTCTCCTCTGATTGGCTAACAGCAACACGACTTTTCTGCTGTGTTTGTTTGCTGTTCTTTCTCGGGTAAAAAAAAAAAAAGCTACGTGGATTTTTCTGCACAATAAACAAGCCTGAACGTCTTCTGCCATGTTAGTTGATGATGCTAATGGTTAGCCTCTACTAGCTGCTCTGCTGTCTCCTTCCCCACTCCCAAGCCAAGGTGGGCGGAGCCAAGAATGCAAATTTTACATAGAAGAGACTGTTTTTTTCTGACTTAATTGCTTTCCTGTCTATTTCCTCTGATGCAAATCCAGGCGATGGGGGTTGGAGAACATCTTCGCGTTCAGCAAGCACACGTAACTCAGAGTGGTCAACCATATTTCCAAATTAACAAAAATCACACAGTTTCTCTGAATTCTCCCAGGTTTGAGCCCTGGGTGTTTGTGTGAATAGTTTACACTTTGGTCGGCGCCTAGCTGTCCTGTAAGGTGTATCTCTATTTTTACAAACAGAGGCTGTTCAGGGCGCTCTCTACAACAGAAACACTCATAGAAAGTGTCAACAATCACTTTAAGGGTCCTCTTATCAGTAAGTAGAAGATGAAAAACACACAGACAACATGATGAATTCCTCCATGCTGTTTTAATAGAGATGCGCTTCCTTCTGTATGTGGTGGGAGATATAGTCTTATTTCCTTTACTGTACACTGCTATTGCAAATGGTTATTTCACATCATGTTCAAATATATTAAAGATGTCAGTTTGATGAAGAACTAGACCTCGGTGCTACCCAGGGAGGGTAAAAGCAGCATTAAATTATGACACACATGATTGAACCTGGTTATGAACCCTCCAGGAGTCATCCTCAGATCATTAAAATAAATAAATCGCCACTCAATACGTAAACAACTGATTTCATTTCCAGTGTAAAATAACGGATTTCATTATAAAGTTCGGTGTGTTCTTTGAAAATGTTCACGGTGACAAATGTGACTCATCATTCTGCCACCAACAACAGAAATACACGTTTAGGGCCTGTTTGAGTGTAAAAATGCACGACAGTGAGACCAACATTAACATTCTGATCAAAATCGACAAACTAGACTTCCAAACAAAGGTAATTATTGCTGTAGTGTGTCTGAAATGCATTGACACTAATTATGTAAATGGTGTTTCTGTTATAAATGTGAAAGCATCGGGTGTTTATCAGACTGAAAGCCTGAAAATCTGCATTAAACTGACCATGACTTTCACACAAACTGTCCAATAAGCTACTCTGTATTTTTCTTTTTAAATTAAAGATATATTGTGACCTGTTTTCTTACATAATATTAGTTTTATGGTCGATACCAAACATGTTTGTGAAGTCCTTTACCCTAAAACCCCCTCGCATCAAACGACCTTGGCTGCGTTCTTCTCGATAGTTTCAGTACCTTCCAGAATGAGCTGTTTCAGGGCTCTGTCACTTTAAGGAAAGCTATCTGGAGCTGGCCACCCCAACCCGTCCCCGCTCAGGCTGCCATTAGCTGAGGAGTTTTGGGGAGGGGCTCGGGGCAGCAGCTCTCTCTTGCAGGTGAGAGGTGGTTCTGTTTTACATTTCATGTTTGTGACATCACAAAAGGGGAATTTTTGTAACAGTTTGAGGTGCACAATTCCTGGAACCAAACATTTACAGAAATGGATGGACACGTTATTTTTTTCACATTTGAAATGTTTCTAGACGCGATAGAAAGACAAAGTGTTCAGGTGGAGCATCAGCATTAGTGCCTTCATCAGAAACCTGCCATGCCCTTTACATGTCTACTGCCCCTAGTGGAAGATGTGCATATTGCACCGTGTAAATAAGAGAAGAAAAATAATTATAAGAGCAGTTTTCTTTAAAGAAAATAAATATTCTATCACACAACAGGCAAACGGCCGTCATTTGCTAGCGTGTACTTTCCTCAGTAAACAAGTCTAATTCCCTTTATTCATGTGTTTAATTGTTGTTTGCTTGCATCTATGTGACTGTATTACTTCAGGTGTGTTGTACAGCGCCTTGGGGGATTATAGAACTCCATCAAATACAGGATTTTCGTCACTTAGGCTAAACATGTGAAAGCATGACCCTGTGACCAGTTCACCTGCTGCAGACCGGATCAGCTGGATTATAATAACTGGCTTAAACTGGCTAGCTGGGATGATTAGGTGTGAGAAAAATTACTTTAGACAACGCACATATAAAGTATACATCTGGTTATTGTAAATGGTCTGCATTTGTATAGCGCCTTCTTAGGGTTCTACAACCCCCCAAGGCGCTTCACAACACTCAGTCGTCCACCCGTTCACTCACGGGTGATGATGAGCTACACTGTAGCCACCACCAGCAGACAAGGCAGATTAGGAGGCTGCCTCTGGCATCCCAGCTCTTATCCTCTACAGACGGAAACGGTTTATGGCTTCTCTTCATTCATTCTCCCAATCCCACCCAGAAAATGGGCGTCAAATCAAAGCAAAGAAACAAGGTTGTAGACTAAGGCATTTGTCCGATCCTTTTACGAACCCCGATATCAAAAAGGATTCACCCTGATCGTCACGACAACAATTCAGGCCTAGTCCACACGTAGCCGGGTTTTTTAAAAAGCGAATATCCGCCCCTCCAAAAACTTGCATCCACACCACCCCGTTTTAAAAGAAACCTCTGTCCACACGTACCCGGATAAATACGTTGTTAAGGACATGCCAGACCTGTAGGCGGCAGTACTTCCCCCGTTCTTAACCTCGTCCTTCGTCTGTGGTCTTCCGCAAGGAGCAGTAATTCCACTTGCAAAAACAAACAAGCAAAAAGTGCTTGGACAATTGATAAAGCGAGCGCAGCTCTGAGGGCATCCATGCTGTCGGCTAGTGTAAACACAGGTCGCACACGTGATGTCAGCATTTTTTGTCGCGGAAAGTGACGTTGCGGACCTTAAAACTCCGGTTTTGTCCGTCCACACGCAGACACCCAAAACGGAGAAAACGCAGATCTTCACTTTGGCCGGAGTTTTTAAAAAGATCCGTTTTTGTGTGAAAAAACTCCGTTTTCGTGTGGATGACAGGCCAAAACGTAGAAAAATATCTACGTTTTGGCAGATCCCCGGCTACGTGTGGACAGGGCCTCAGTCTCTCCCCATCGATTAAAAAAAGGCTTTTAATTTTAAGGTTTGAACTTAAAGAGCAAGTCACCCCCTACCAGAGTATTACTTCACTCCCACTTCCTGTTTGAAAAATGCAACAAATGCTGTTGCCTAGCAGACCGAGAGGGCGGAGCCGCTAACAAACACACACACAGGCTCACAACGTTGTGACATCATAATGTACCCTCTAACGTCATAGTGTACCTCTTAGCCAATAGCGATGGCAGATTTAAATTAAATGCAGTGTAGAGTTTTTACCTGACGACGGCACAACACTGACAGTTTTAGGCAGAATATTTAAATTCTAACTAAGATGCACTAAAGTGCAAAACTATAAACTACAGCCTGATTAGACACTCATTCATATAGTTTAAGAGCAAAAAAAGTTGATCTGAGGGTGACTTGCTCTTTAACAAAAGTTGACCTCATCCAAGATGGCCGCCCAAGCTTCGCGACCCTAGCAAACACAAACACCGTGATAACTTTTGCCGATATTGTGCTCAGATTTGTCATCTAACTAGCTGAGTCAGCCACAGCACATTCTCTTGGGGTATTATGGGATGTTGAAACATTTTGTTTTCAATATCTGACTCCATCACTTCCCTGGCCTTATTTTACAACTTTGGCATGAAATATGATGTGGATTCCTTCAACGAGTGTTAGGTCTGTCATTTTTAAAGGTATGGAGCACGTGTTATCGTTGGAATTGTTGCCTTATAAGGTAAACTCTGGGGGTCAAAGCCTGGTGCACCATTTTCAGGAATATGCTGAAAGCCACGTCCAGGTGTGGACAGGGACGAAAACTTAGAGTGTGTGTGTGTGGGGGGGTGGGGGGGCTGCTAGAATTTCTTATTTCTATGGTCAATGTTTTTTCTGATTTATGTATTTCTGCAGGCTTTTTGGTGCTTCTGATAATTGATTTGAGCAAATTTGTGGCATTTAGTGATTTTGAGTCTGGTTTCAGTGAATTTTCATGTTTTTAAAGTTTTAAAATCTGTTGTTTTATTGGTTCAGTTTCAGTGCTGTAGCTGAGAAATCCCTCCGATTCCCTGTTTGATGCACAAGTTTAGCAAACAGAATGAAAGACGCTTTGATCCGAGTCCACACATACAGGTATCCAAAAATATTACAGTTTAACTGGAACTGCAACCCAAAACATCCATGTGCAATGTCCTTTAAAATTGCACTGAAGTCCAAGAAATATCCTGCAGAATGACGTGGTAAAGACACAAACACGGCTGTTTTGTGACAGAGTAAATCTCGTACGGTGGACTTTAAATACACGTTGACCAGAGTAACAGTTAAAGACTAGCTACAGCACAAGAGCATAGGCTTAGCAGCAATATACAGCACAGACTGAGCACAACTCACCTCATTCAGATCTACGTTAAGGTGTCAAACTGAGCTAGTGAGAATATACAAACAGACTTCTTGGTATGATTTATTTAGCTAATTGTGTTGCTTTAATGTTAAATTGATCTAAATGCAAACTTCAGATGAATTAACTATGTGATCGTTTATAGAAAGTACTAATTTCTTAATTCTGATGTGCAAGTTTCTAACGTTTTACTTCCTATGAGCTAACTACCCAGAAGCATTTGGTAAATCAGAGATAAATTGTACAGATTAGAAAGAAAATAGGCACAAAAATAGATATTTTTTCTGTTCATAAATAAAATCTAAAATATAATTACACTTTGGATAAAAATAAATAAATATGAGCTTAGCTGACAGTACATTTGTAGCAAGTGGACAAAGACAAAATGGGTGTTTGATTTCCTAACAACACTAAAACCGATTTTTATTATTGGTAAAAATAAAAATAAATCTGACATTTAGCTGCAAAACCCAAACGTTGAGCATGAAAAGGAAAAAAAGATGAAAGCAAAAGTTTCAAACTGAAACGCTAACAGGGTAGAAACACAACCAAACCTCAACGGCACGTTCAGTCACTGGCTGCACACACACGCACACGCACACGCACACACACACACACACACACACACACACACACACACACACACACACACACACACACACACACACACACACACACACACACACACAGACAGAGTAACCCTAGGAGACATGTTGCTGTTGTGTTTGAGAAACGCATTGTTATGTATATTCTTTGCTAACAAAAGTTAGCTTGGTTACTTAGCATACCAGTTAGCAACGCCTTCTGGTTTTCTAACCTGCAACTCCAACTTCATCCCCAGATCCAAGGTCCAACCTCTGATCCAAATGGAACACAGCCGTTGGGTTTTTCTTCCTTCTGCTCTGAGAGCCGAAGACAACGCGTCCGATCTGACGGTTGGCTGCATTTCTACCCTTAGAACAGACCTGAGATCAGTGTGATCCGTGAAAAGCATCTGAATTTTGGATTAGAGTGGGTTGGCCACTGCCGCTGGCCAAAAGCGGGGTGCTCTAAAGCCACACGTACACACATAGTGTCTACGTACACATTCACTGGCAAACATTTTAACGTCATAATTTATGGCTGACAGATTAATGAGCCTTTTCCCTGCACTGAAAAACGGAAGAAACGATCAGCGTTAGTCATCCAAGCATTGATCTTTCAGTTTCCACGAGCCAGTGGACGAATATTTAGGTAGCGGGCGCGAGGACCCTTTTGTGAATGACGATGAAGCTAAAGCTCTTCCTCTTAAAGGCTCATTTTAGTCTCCAAAGCAGCAAGACAGGATGTTCTTGAGCCATGCTTCCCAAAAGTCGGAGCCTTTTCCCAGCTGTGCAGAGCTGTTATATCTGGGATCCCCCGAGGTCTCCCCCGCCTGCGGGGTAATGCCTCAAACCGCCTCCCCTGCGAAGCGAGTGCAGCGCCACAGTGCAGCAGCCTCTTAGCAGCGACCCGATGTGATACATGGGCTGTCCATCCCGGACTGGACCCCGGCAGAGCCACGCCACGGTTGGCACCACCGGGATGGCCACTGCTAACAGATCAACCAGGAAGTGGCGACTCCAGTAGCTTTTCTGAATTCTCCCAGAGCTGGATGAGTCTCCGTCTTCTGATGAAGCGCCTTGTTCGTTGGTTTTATCTTCATTGTCATCCTCATCGTTCACTTTCACCACAGTTACGCCAGCCATCTCCTCACGGGGGGTGGATCTCCTTGGTGGCTGGGATGTGTGAGGCTCCTGCATGTCTGGAGACGGTCCTGGACACAGCTCCGCCGTCTCTACCTGGCTTGACCTTGCTGGTCTACCAACCGCTTGCTGCTCATGCTCTTCTCTCTGATTTCTAAGTGTTGTTTCATTCTGCCTGCCATCTCCACAGCAGGCTCTAAACGTGAGGTCAGGCTGTGTTCTTGTGGACGTTTCATCTAAATCACCGTGGTTTCCTTGGGTTTCCTCCTCCCCAGAACCCATGACTTCCCCCTCCATCCTTCCGACTGAATCTTGCTCTGTCTGCTCTTCTTTTTCCTCTTTTCTGATCGCAGCTGTTTCCACCCGCACCTCATCAGAAATATCTTCCTTTTCTTTTCTCTCCTTCTCCTGCTTTTCCTCTTCCTCTACCTTATCGCTTCCCACGCAAAGAGGACTCTCCGGGGAGAACGCCACAGTGGCAGAGCGGGGTAAAGGAGGAAGCAGGGGGTTTTTACACTTTGGAATTGGCTCCGTGGCTGTACTCAAGACCGTTGCCGTAGTCACTGACGTGGTGGTGGTAATGGAGTCCAGATCCTCCTCCCCTTCATCAGACATCCAGGTGGAGGTGGGGCTGCAGGCCTGGGAACGAAAAGTGCGTTGCTCTGCGATAGTATCCAGATCAGAGGGATATGCTGCCGTTGCAGGGATGGGGCAGCTCTCGGTCTGAATGCCTGCCTCCCTCAGGGGGTGCAGGTACAGGTGGTGGTAGGACAGGCAGGGGTGACTCGTGCAGCTCACGCCGCTCAAGCTGCAGCGAAAAGGTGCCAGCCGCTCACCTGTGCAGAGCTGCTCGTAGGTGGAGGAGTGTGGCATCGCCTGTGGCACTGAGTGGGACGTGTTGTGAGGAAAGGAATGAGGTAAGGTATGGGAGAAGGTGTGAGGCAGGGAGGGGGGAAGGGACTGTGGTAAAGAGTGGGCGAAGGTCTGTGTGTAGGAGTTGAGTAACGATGCGGTTTCCTCAGAGAGGTAAGCAGCCTCCAGCAGCAGGTCGGCTCGGCTGGGAACGCTGTTCTCCCCGCAGCAGACAAAGCCACTGTCCTGCGTGCCGGCGCCTGACAGGCAAGGGAAGTCCGTCCCGTTTTCGTTCCTGTCCGCCAACGCCTGCTCGCTCAGCTTAGTGTAGGTGGAGCTCCGAGTTAGAGAGCGGGCTGGAGAGCCATCGCAAGAGCAGGAGCCCCTCCCACCCACTGTGAGCTTGGGCACCACTCCAGGACTTTCGCCTGAAACAGACGCTGGTGCTGACCCCCCAACACGAGTCCTACAGCCTGGTATGGCTTCCCCCTCCTTGGCTAAACCAGCCTGGGCCAACTCCATGTTGAGCAAAAGATTTTCCAGCTTGTGATTCTGAGTGTTGATGTCCTGGAAGTACTTCTGGACCCCCACGTCCCCGCTCATCCCGCCGGCATCACTAAGTCTGGTGCGAACAGTGTCCACCGCCTGTTTCAGCTGCTGGATCTCCCGACGGGCCTCCTTCAGGGCCAACTGAGCCTCCACACGGTGACACTCCTCCTCAACCCAGTCCTCCTGCATGCGGTAGAGTTGAGTTCGCAGCTCGTCAATCTCTGTGTCCCTAAAAAAAAGAGAGCAACTGTATCTGAAAAACTACCTGAGAACCTGTCTTTGATCATCGTCTCTTACTGTCAGGGCCTCACCTGTCTTGCAGTGTGTTGATGGTCTCTTTGAGTTTGGCTCGCAGGTGTCGGATGCACACCTCCTTCTGCTGGAGGGGTGTGAGGTACTGCTCTGGTGGCGGTGGGCGAATTCCATGGTTGTCTGTACACGACGCGCTCTTCTGACGTCTAGAACACAGAATTTGACCAAATGAATGAGATAAGCTGTCTTCCCGAGTCCCTTTAACAGCGATGTTTTAGAAAGAAGCAACGTGATGAAACATCAGGCTCTTCCACCACTACACCCAGCACAGCTCAACTTGGTTTGGCCCAGTTCCAATGCATTTCCACTAGTAAATGCAACCAGTTTGCCAGTTTTTTAGTACCTGCCTTTAGGTTTTTCCACGTGTACCGTGGCACGCCAGATCGTTGGTCACTTACTGGTGAGGGGGCGGAGTCTCCTGTATTCTCCTGAGTGTTTCGCCCTGCTGCTCGCAGCCTCTTCTGGGCTGCAGACTCAGCAGAACATTCAACATCCCTACCATGTCCTCCGTTGTTGTTTAGTGTTTGTGTCTCATTCACAGATAGCGCCACTTTTGTTTTGCACAAGAGTGGCGTCACTCTACTTTTCGAACTCTTGAGGCCGGTCCACCCAGCAGCCCAGGCCATTTCTCAGCTGTAGTCAGGGTCCCAACTATGGGGGAGCTAAGCAAAGATAAGGGGGAGCTCGGCTCCCCTGGAAGCCCTCAGTGTCGCAATATAATGTGAAAAACAGACAAATGTGGATCTTATAGAGCCCAGGTGCTCTTATGCCAGGCTTGTGTGTTTATTTGAATATTATCCTAGTTATATAAGTTATATGGATTTGATCATTTATCTGTGAAATGGCTGATTTGGAGAAGTGATATAAATGATTGTTTGGGAATTTTCTATTAGCAAACAGCACATTTCATCTAGTGCAATAAAACCCTTTGTGATCTGGTACCCTTTGGTGGGGCTGCATTCACTTCCTTTACAGGATCCTGAGTTGCTGCCGCTGCTGACGGAGGTGTTGTTGTAAGGGTCTCTGCTACTGGGGGCAGCCGGCGTCCGCCTGGACCAAAAACAAGAGGAGAAACGTTGCTCTTGATGTTAAAACTCAATATTTTAGCGTGAAAATAGGTTCCAGATACCGAGTGGGCTGTTGAAGAAAATTCATCATGAATTAAACAGACTCGACTGCAGCGCATTTCAATCCGGGGTCACCGGCATGCCGAAACAGCACAGAAAAACACAGACAGGTCACACGGGTTAAAGTCGTACACTCCCATAACAATTATTTAAATGTGTTCAGCAAGGGAATAGGCACGACAACGAGAAGCATGCAGGAAAAATAACAATTACATGATGTATCAACAGCATTCCCATGCTTCAGAGGATTAAAAACACCAACAGGAAGAACTCGGGACACACCGGGAACGAGGGGTGGAGGGAGAGTTGGCTGAGCGGACGTGGCGATCCGGAGACCTCGTGGAGGCGTATCCTTTGGTTGGAGACTTGGTCGATGCGTAGCTCTTAGTCGGACGCATTGAGACCATGTAGCCTGTCTCCATGGGGACATAATCTACCTCTATGAACCTGCAGTAGTCAAACCTGAGCAGGCAGAGACAATAGGGGGTTAAATTACAGTGGAGGACACTTTGGACCAGAGCTGCATGATGCCATGTGTGAGCTAACGGGTGGATTCAGACGTTTTACTGAGGTGAGACCAGGCTGTCAGGCACAGATCGTGTCTTATAGCAAGTGGTGCTGATGCACAACAACAACAACACAGGGCCGTGCAGAGACCTAAAAGGGACAGGGCCTCAAGGATAACAAGATTTTCAAACGTTACAACATAACCTACAGAGTTCCAGGTGGGTTACTGTGGTTCGACTGTCTCATAAAATCATCACCCAACTCTGCTTAAACTCCACCTAAACTCACGGCCACTTATTTACCTTCAGAATGTTTGCTCATAAACAAATCAAGGCACCACAAAGGTGTCTGTTTTCTGTTGTTGAGTATCTACGGTTATAATTGTCATTAGGGGTGTGCATTGGCAAGAATCTGGTGACACGATATTTCACAACATTTAAACCAGAAAATATTTGCAGTTTTTAAGACTGAATTTAATTGGAAACCTCGGGCCAAAGAGCACAACCAGTGTCTGGCCACCAGATCTTGTTTCTCGTCCGAACGAAGGCGGGGAGAACTGCTGCCACCTAGCAGTTTGAATTGGCCCACACACAAATACAGTAAATGTTTGCATGTACATTCTCAATAAAAGGATCAATACGCTGCTTTCAAAAATACCGTATGTGTCACGACTCCCAATCCTTCAGCCTCCTCAGCCTTCATGCAGCACAACTGGTCTCATCATCAAGCCCCGTTTCCCTGACTACCACTATCAGCTTCATCCACTTCACCTGCTCCTGACTCCTCAGCTCATCACTCACACCTGTTTTCTCTGTTCCAGCCATCCAGTCATTCAGTGCCAGAGTTTTGAAGACTTCGTGCCAGTAAATGCTCCAGCCATCCACCCTGCCTGATCTCTGCCTCCGGACCTCGTTTTTCTCCTGACCCCTGCCTGAACTCTGCCTGCCTCCACGACCTTCGCCTGTCCTTAGCCTCGCCTCCAGCCTGTTCCCCGTATCTGCATGTCCGATCTGGTTTTGACCCTCGCCTCCTCTCCGACTCTGTCTCCAGCCTCGCCCAACTCTGGTAACTCTGCTTCAAATAAAGACTTTATTTATATATTTTTACTGTGTTTGGTGTCTTCACGGGTCTTCAGAGTTCTGTTCATGACCATATGGGTGCCAACAGGGTTTGTCTGCAGCTTCCATGGTGGCCCAAGACCATCTGGGTCCCTCTGAAAACCCATGTAGGGGCCGTTAAAACCTATGTGGAAAAACCCCTGTGGGGTTACCATGGAAACCGCTGATCAACCCTGTTGGCACCCATATGGTTTGCCTCATAAATCCATATGGGGCCCACCTATGCATAATAACTGGGTATTCAGTATAATGCAGTGGCGTGCCCAGATCTTTAAAATGGGGTGGCCTAGGTAGTGCACTTCTTTATGCATGGGTGGCACCAATGGTTATGCTTTTTTTTTTTTTACCCCAAGCTTTTTGTGGACAAGTCTATTTAATGGGAATTCAGTGGGGTGGCCAGTCAGATTCCAAGGCTGGCATGTGCTACCCCAGGCCACCCCCTGGACACGCCCCTGGTATAATGAAATATAATAATGTGATATTTTACTGTTTTGATATTTTCTTCCATCCCTATTACAACATTTTATTTTTCTGCACTTTAAACAAACCTAAAAGACACGTTGTCACTGCGTCTACTAAGAAGGGACAGAGCCAATCAGTGAGCTTGTGGGCAGTCTGATGGAATAAGGGCTTCAGTTTAGCGGCTGTTTTCCGCTTGGTCCTAGTGCCTGAGCTCTATTCATTTAGTGTGGTGTAACATTGTTTTTGGATGGTAAAAATTTACCGCATTAGGAGGAGAGGTTCAAGCACCCACCCCTCCTTCACGTCTCCAACAACATAACTCGCTAAAAGGCCGTGCATTAATACGACGAAGCTGGCTTGGGCTTCCGATGAGAATCATTAATATAAAACTTCTAAAGCTGCAAGGCTTTTACTGGAAGAGAGCATGAAGTACCACTTGGAGCTAAAATACTAACAGAAGCAATTGTACATCAAGTAGGATCTCACACAAATGTGTCAAAAATGAAGCGGCAGAAAAAGACAGAAATTGTTTAAAAGTCAGATTAATCAATATTCCTAGTTTTTATGAATCGATCTCCTCTACATTACAGTTATAATCCTGCTAAGGAAAGCAAAGGCGAGCGTCAGTAAAACAGCTGCAGGCAGGAAAACGAAGAACAATCTGTGATGGGCAAAGCCTGTCACGATCTTTATATAATGTTGCATAAATAGAGCCACATTTTGGGGTAAACTCAGATTTGTAGAAGAAAATGTATAAATGCATATTAGCCCAGTCACTGGCCTCCCTCATGGCGAAGAGGGGTGGAGTGGCGGCAGCCATGAAGGAGGACACACAGGACACGGTAACTACAAGCCAACAGACTGCTTCTAAAAGCAATATGTGGAGTGTGGCATGGTGGCTTGATGGTAGCGACCCCAGGCCGATAAGCCAGGAGCTTTAAACCCTCACCAACAATTTGGTCCATTTGGTTTTTGAAGCCGCCTATTTTACACTGAATTTAGATTTGTTGGACGAAGATTTTACTGCACTTTATAGTTTTTGTGTAGTGGGTAAGTGTCCTGGGAGCGCTCTTTACCTGCTTAATGGCTTTTAGCTGTGATGCTAGCGGTTAGCATTTCCAGTTTGCCACTCATCAATAAAATGCACGAAAAAAATGGCCTGTATTTGATATAGTGCCTTCTAGAGTCCTGAAACCCCCCAAGGCGCTTTACAACACAACCAGTCATTCACCCATTCACACACACATTCACACGCTGGTGGGGATGAGCTACAATGTAGCCACAGCTGCCCTGGGGCGCACTGACAGAGGCGAGGCTGCCGAGCACTGGCGCCACCGGTCCCTCCGACCACCACCAGCAGGCAACATGGGTTAAGTGTCTTGCCCAAGGACACAACGACAGCGACAGACTGAGCGGGACTCGAACCAGCAACCTTCCGATTACGGGGCGAGCACTTAACTCCTGTGCCACCGTTGCCCCAAAGAAGTTTGCTTTTTCTGTTGGCATCATGGCGGGGCCTAGAAGTAAAAGTAAGAGTAATGTCTTTGGAGGCAAAGCAAAGAAAAAAACCTGAGTGAACATCTCTGATGGGGCTTAAGGAGGAAATGAAATAATGGACTAATGGTGACCTGGCTTTGTTGCTTCTGGACTAAAAATGTTTGTCCAACAGCGTGGATCTTTTTACTTTGTGTTATTGCTAGTGCTAACTACTCATCGTTGGCGCCAGCTACAACAGGCTGCTGCAGGGTTGTTTACAACTGTTGTAATTCCACTTTCAACCAGTAGGGCAGAGTAGCAAGAAACTGCTCACTGCTACTTTAAAGCAGGGGTGAGGAACCCTGGCCCTCGAGGGCCGCTATTGAGCAGGTTTTAGTTGTTTCTCTGCTCCAACATACTTGATTCATAGGTTGAATGATCTGTTCAGCAGCTCATCAAGCTCTGCAGAAGCCTGTTAATCACCTGCTGATTGAAATCAGGTGAGTTGAAGGGGAAACAACTAAAACATACAGGATAGCAGCCCTCGATGGACCAGGATTTCCCACCCCTGTGGCCCAGACCCTATTTTTTTTCTGGTTCCGACCCTAAGCCCTGCCTCCAAAATACAGGAGAATGACAGACAGACGATTCTGTCAAACAACCAACACATCATGTTATCTTATCTTTTTGACCCTTGGTTGGCACCTATTCAGCCATAATCATAAAACATTACAGCCAGGGAGCCTCCTAATCCAGTGCTGGTCACTTCTCCAGACTCTGTCCCCGCTGAAGGCTTAAGGGAAAGTCACTAGTGGGGGCTAGACTGAAGATCCAGCAAGGAGGACTGGACTGGTTGCACTGGATACCCTCTCTGCTGCTTCCACTGGATGCATAAGCAGTGTGTAGCGTAACAAACACATTTTACCTACGAGCTCCTGTCCAACCAGAAACATTTCAGATGCAAAATGGGAGTAAAATCCTTCCACATAGCTGTCCCGCAAGGTCATGAAACCTGGAGAACTGCAACACCACTCTGATTTTGGAAGTTCACTCGAAAACAAGCCAGCAGCAAGGGCGCCCCCAAGGGGTGGCCAGGGGTGCAGTCGTTGGAAAGGCACCGGTCCACGATAACACAGCTAATTGCTGGGAAGTATGCTAGCTAATTTAGCTAGCGCTCCTCTGGTTTAACTTCCTGTTCAGCTGCACCAAGCTAAGAACGTGTGAACTGTGCACATAGAGGGTCATGTGCAGCGGGGGGAGGGACAGTCACAGGGCAGTTTGATGGGGATCAGGGTCCAATCATTAAGAACTGGACATTCACAATGATTGGATGAGGTATTTCCAGGATTGTACGTTTCAGAGGCAGTTACAATCATTCCTATTTTTGACAAAACATTTAAGATATTGGTCGCCATCGATGTGTGAAGAGCATTTTAAAGCAATATCGCAAAAAAAAAAAATTCCAGAGAAAAGATTTCCCGGCCCACCATTAAGGTTTGAAGCGGTTTATCGTGAGGTTGCTACAAGGTGCTAACCGTGAACATGTTATAGTTTTTGATGATTTCCTTCCATTTGTGCTACTTGTTGACTTTTTCTATTTTCCGCTAATGTTCAGTAACCTAAAACCTCAAAGGCTTGTTTCATCGTGCAGCCGTGCTGAGTCAGCATGTCCTGTGTGACACAAAGGGAGGAGGCCAGATATTGAAGGTCAATATGTGACAACAAAATGCTAAGAGCAGAAACAAGCAGAAAGAGTGCAGTTTCAAACAAGCCATGAGCCTGGAGAGTGACAGAATACGATGCAACAGGTCTTCCTCGTCCATCTGCTCAGATGGAGCTAGCGAGGGTGGAGAGGGTCAAGCACCAAACGTTAGCATGAGTGAACGAAGTGCCAAGGCATTTCTTTACAAGAGATTTTGCTCGAGAATCAGATCTCGGAAGAACAAGCTCTCATCTGAGATGATGCTTCTGGGACGATGCTGCTGACTGACCAGTGATCACTCGGGATCACAGGATGCCTCCAAAGCACCACCGCTCGTTCACCGTAGCTACTAAACTCAAGCTCGCATTAGGGAAACCATTCATAACCCCAAAAAACACCAACATTTAAACAGAGAAATTCAAATAGTAGAAGCCGTCATTTAGATTGGCTGAAGCTTCAAGCGTTCTTGATCTGTAAACAAATGTTTTTTTTTTTTTTAGTTTTTGTGAAACGATGCCTGAACGCTGCTGTTACTGGCCAGGTTGGTATTTTAGTGGCTACAGTGTCCGAGCTAACCGCATGCTCTCTGAGACTGTAACTGAATTGTGTCTCACGCAGGTGGGGCAGGCACTGGAACAGCCACTGGCACCGAGGCCGCAGGCGCCCCTGTGCCCGACACCGTCCTCGGTGCCGGCTTGGGCGCCGGCGTGGGCGAAGACGCCAGTATTTGCTGCAAGCGGCGTTTGGGCTGCAGCGCCTTCAGCGGGTTGAATCTGAGGAAGAGGAGATATGAGAGAGGAGGCACCACACATGCAGACTGAGGAATCTGTGACGACTCGTCACCACGCCAGTAAAACCAGTACGACCACTCGAACAGTCTGACACCGGTATCAGAACTTTGTGTTTGAGATTCCTGTAAAAAAACATTAATTAAAACACAAATTATAATTTAGTTTGTTTTGCTATTTAAACAGTGAAGAGAAAACTAGCTAAAAGCTAAGCTAAAAGAATGCTCTGTTGGTGTTTTATTTTCGCTCGGAGCAGTGAGAGTTCTTTCATCCCCCCTGAAAAACAAATCTACATGAAGCAACAAGACACATTTTATGTATTTTTAGTCAGAACATTTATTTCTTCACATGAAGACTTGCAGAACTTGAACACCGTAGGGTGCAGGTGATTACGTCAGTGCTTAATTTGTAAATCAAACGATCCCGGAACGCAAATACTGACGTCAAACCAAAGTTCACTAAAGGCAAAACAGATGCCGGAACACGCACCGGGGGGGGGGGGGCTTGTCCGGTTGATTCGCTGGAGTTTTTGACAATAGAAAATTGCGCCCACATTTTCAAAGTTAACACACGTTTCTTTTAACAACGGTAGTTTCTGCATCTTTACTGTTCCCCTGCATCTCCTCTCAATCCTGAGGAAAAACTGCTACCTGGCTTCGTACTTTTCACTTTGAGTTACCTTTAAACTGCAGTTCAAAAAGATCTACCGACCGCAAAAATAGCAGAGTGTGCACCGCGCGCCGCTGCACCGGTGCGGTGACGTCACCGGAGGACAAAACGGGTGATGCGCTCTGCTCTGCAGCAGCGAAACGCATCAGGTACAAGTACAAGACAGAAATCTTAAAAGGACACAAACGATTGCGTGTTGTTTGCTTTTGAGGTGGCGACACTTCGAGAATGTTACTGTGGCCGTGCTCAGGACGCATCTGTCTGGAGCGCGTCAACGATCAGAGCTCTGTGCCTCTCAGCTCTAAATAATACCCGGAGAGTCCACATAGATAATGTAGTATCAGTAGAACCAGGATAGTTTTTGGGCTCTCCCTGGGTGTGTAAGCTGGGGGCTTCCAGGGGAGTGTCATCCTTTGGGGTGAGCCGGGGTTCCTTCAGCTCACCCGTAATTCGAACCCTGCGTGTAGCACAAGTTGGTCGCGTGCGGTGCCGGATCCTAGCAGACAGTTGCCGGAACGGTCCTTTCAAAATAAGACAGTTCCCGGATCTGGTTCTGGCAAGATCCGGCTCAAATTAAGCCCTGGATTACGTCAGACTTCAGCGTCTCAAACGACACGGCAGCTCCTCTAAATGAGACGATTTGACTCCACGTTGCAAATTGAGAAGAAGGAAAAGATGTCTAGTGAAGTTGTTTTTATCTAAAAAATGCATCACTGCCCCCTACTGGACTGGAGTGTGATGTGTAGGTAAGCGGTTGGTTGAGAGGTTTTGGTGGTCATCAGATTGAGGTACGACACTCCAGGCACTTTCAGGCGAGGGTCAGAACAGTTTCTATCAAAACTATCACCAACGATTTCCGTACAGCAATCTAGAACGTTCGGAACGTGCGTCATAACTTGTAGCCATGACTGTGTCACCAGTTCTCCTTTTTATCTTCAGCCAACTTTTCATTCATTCAGTCTTCTGTAATCAAATTAGTGTTAGTAATCTCTGGGATGTAGGTGGACAGCTGAGTCACTCTTGTGTTGTGCCAAGTACACCAAGAGAATACTTAAATCAGCCTAAAGGAACGTGGAGAACCAAACTTACCGGCAGGAGCCTGATGTAGACCTCCGACTGGCAGGAGCAGACATGGAGCCAGGCAGCCTTGATGTTTCGTCCGTCCTTACGCTCTCGCTGAGACCTTCAGCTCAGAGCATCGAAGCCTGGAGAGAAAAGCTGACACTTAGCTGGCACCAGTGATGGGAGTAATGCCGTTTAAATATAACGGCGTTACTATGTGCTTGTGGAACGTTCAGCAACAGTGTGAGGCTTTCTGACCGCCACACTTCAGCTGCAGCCAGGGAGAGAGAGGTGTCGGTAACGCGATGATGATTGGCCGGGTGGGCGGAGACCCTCACTGTCTCAGTCACTGCCTGCTGTAGACACAACAGAGCAGTGATGGGAATTACGCCGTTTAAAATAACCGCGTTACTAAAAAAATATTTCTTTCAGTAACGAGCAAACTAATTAATTACCGTCTTCTTTTAACAAAACGTTGTTTCTGTTACTGATAAGAAAATGCGTGCGTTAAGCAGCGCGGTGTGTTGAAGCTGTCGTCAGCTGATCAGGAGCTAAAGAGGCAGATGTTTTCATCCAAGCGCATCACGGCCGTGAAGAACGAGGAAGACGTGATGAATATCTACGGCTGCAGGTGTGGATCTGCAGCCGTGCCCTTCTTAGCGTGACAGCGGGACGTCCTGAAGGTCCGCTCACCTGTCCACCGCTCAGACGTCCTGATCTTCTACCTTCCTAGATCATCCAGCTGTAACCTGTTCCTGATCATGTCTTTAGTCCCGCTGTAACACTGATGCATCAGTCTCAGACGTCATGGAACTCAGGTGTTATTAGAACTACCTGTGTGTGTTTACCACCCAGCTTCAGCTCTTCTGTGGTTGGGTCTGACCCAAGTTAGTAAATGTAAGTCCTCCATCAGGCTTGTGCCTCTTCTAGTGTCATTTTAAAGGATTTTATTTATTTATTTAACCGTTACTAGATTACCAGCAACAGAAATGCTGCTAAAAACACACAATTATGTGAAGCTGGAAAAATTAAAATGCTGTGCAAAATTACACTTATTTCTGTAATTTGACTAGACTGAGAGACCATTTAAAGGCTCGGGAACCTTTACAGGTGTTTCTATTTACAATTTTAAATTTTAGCTGATTGGGGTCTTGTTAAATATCACACAGTGACCTTTTAATAGTCTAGATTAGTGTAATGTTCCTGTTAGTAGTTCCTACTGTTAAGTACTTATTTATTTAAATTATTCAGGTTTATAAAAACATTTGGACACACATTTTATTATGTTCCAGTCATTAGTCATTTATATTTCACTGTTGTAGTTATTCTTGCATGCTTTAATGAAAAAAGTAACTAAGTAGTTATTTTTCTTGGTAATTAATTACTTTTATAATCTTTTAACTCAGTTAGTAACTGAGTTACTTTTTTGACAACGTAATCAGTAACTATACCTAATTACTTTTTTAAAGTAACGTTCCCAACACTGGCTGGCACCAACGGGACAGCGGAGTTCAGCAGCCAATCACATCCAGTCATGTGTGAGATCCGACCAATCACCTTTAGTTTAAAGCTACAACGGCGAGTTTGGAAAACAAATTAGCTGAAAACATTTTTTCATGCCTGAGTGGGAGTGTGAGCATCCTGTCCCGATTGATCATGCGCCCAGGCTACTTGGCCAAGGGGACGTCCCTTTGGCTGACTGGTTAGCGCGTGTGACTCTCACCCGGGGGTCTGGGGGCCAAATCCCGCCGGGGCCCTCGCTTCTCCACCTTGCCACACCTGCTAACAACGTCCTGACGTGGTACAGCTTGGTCCTTCGCTCATCACACACTCATATTAAGCATCAGAACACCAGTGGTGTGAGAGGTTCTCCGCTCAATAATACCAGAGAAGGAGAAACAGCCGGCTGCTACCTCTTCAGCTTTAAGACAAACTACCAGAGTCCCAAAAAAAAAAAACAACCACCATTTGAAGTCACGGACAACAAAAGATGTTTGGACCTAGAGAACGGTGTTTAGCGCTATCTCGTTTACTCCGGTATTCCGGGTTTCCGGTTCCAGGGGAAGTGTCTTAGGGAAGATCCCCGAGGGAAGGGGGAGTGTTCCCTGACCGTGTTCAAAACCTAGCTTGTTCTGTAGATTTGCCATAGCAGCTTTAACTCATCTCAGGCCACTGCCAGTGGAAGAGGTGAGCAATGGCAACTGACATTTACATCTTTCACTGCAACAAGAGCTATGAACCTAAAACGATGGGGTTCACTTCAACAGAATGTCCTAACTGCATCTGACCTAAGAAAGAGAAGCGGGCTCAGAGGGAAGGAAACGGTGGATAAAAGGGGTTGACAACCGATATTAAACACAATCGATGGCTTGCTGAGGGTCATATTTGTGCATTTGAGTAAATAGATGCTCCTAGGTGCATCCTGCCGCGTCGACTCTCTGCCAACCAAGATTGAGTCAAACAGTTTTAACTAGTCAGCAAACGGCGTGTGATTCTGCTGCTTCAGTTCCTCTAGCTAGCATTCGCAATCTGCATCAGTTTATTCCCACAAGCAACAAGCCGATGTTTAACTGGCGGTGCTGGGCAAGTTACTTCAAAATTGTAATGCATTATTTATTACTTGTTACCCTCATTTTAAAGTAATTCATTACATTACAATATTACTGATTTTAAAATGTAAGGCATTACACTACTTTTGCATTACTTTAAGTTACTTTTACCAATACAACTTCAATATGAATCTGGTCATGTGACGCTCAGTGAGCTCATGACATATATGTGGAAGGTGATGTGGTGTCTGAGCTAGGGTTGCTGTTAAAAACAGTCAGATATAATAACAGCGCTTTAAAATGATTGTTTATTAAATAAAAGCAACAACAATCTGTACTCTCAGCACGCTGCCATCTTAGATTAACTGAGCAGGGAGTGAGGTGGTGGGGGCTCCAAGCCTATATTTGCCTTGGTCCCCAAATGCCTTGATACGGCCCTGGATGTGGGACTGGCTTCTGGGGTGATCTGATTCTATCACATGTATAAATATTAAATGCTTATATATTATTGCTTTTCACTGGTAAAAATGTGTATTGGGGATAAATCTACCTACTTTTTTTCTTTTCAAGCACTTTGTTTTGTTTTCTTGATTTTATTTGAATAATTTCCTGCCCTTTCTCTCTCTAACCTTCCTGCATGCTGCATGTTTTCTCCGTCTTCCAGAAAAACTGTTTCCTAGATTTCCTACTTTCTAACTAATCAGCCAAAGGGATCTTCACGTGCGCGGCGCTCCAGCAGCAATGAGTTGAAATCACCGGGGCACAGATTATGAACTCAGCTGAGGCAAAGCACGTCAGAAAAGCACAAAATACCAGAGAATATGCGCTGATATGAACGATCGCAAGTGAATTATTTTGTTTTAGTGGAGCGATTTTGTGAACGTTACAGCGGCCGCGTGCTGAGCTGAGCCGTTACGGCGGCGTCCTCTCTGCCCGCAAAGCTGAGTCCATAAATGACGTAATATATGCAGATACTGGATCTTTCTTCGGGTTTCCCGCAATTTGAATTTTTAAGGAACACATCTTGATTCTGGGTTTAAAAATGCATTGTAATTACCGCGTTACTGACAATTGTACCGAGTAAATATTACCATTTTCTTTCCCTGTAATGCCTTACATTACCACATTACAGCAAAAAGCAATGCATTACAGTAATTAATTACTTTTGTACCGCATTACTCCCAACACTGGTAACTGACAGTAGTGTGTGGATGTTTATTTACATGTAATGTTGCAAATGCAGCTGTAGAAAAACTGTAAAATGACCAAAGTCAAACAGAACACCGGTTGAGAGGTAATCGGCGCCGGATCAAAGTTAGTCGTCCAATCCCTGTGCAGTGATGTCATATCTCCACAACTCCTGCTAAAGTACAAGACAGTGCATGACGTGAGCTGCTCATGAGCTACGGCAGCCATTCCTGTGAGAGCGATGCACCTTAGTGAAATACAACACACGCCTGTGCCTTATTTCACGGTTTTGATCAGCCGGGCTATTTTAATGTAAATTATTTTTACTGTACATTTATTTCAACATCAACAAGTCTTCTTCTGGAGTCTGTGGTTTACGACACCAGTGAAGCATCATGGTCTGTGGTGGTCCAGGACTGAACTGTTGAACTTGTGCCTGCGGGTCTTTATTCTGCAGCTGAATAATGGTCAACCGTCGCTCTGACTGCAGCTTTGATTCGCCTGATCTTACGAAACTGAGCTGCGACCAGAAAACTACAGATTTAGAGCGGATTTTTCACACCAAGTGTGTAAAACTCTTGTTTACATCCTTCAGGGGAAAGCCTGAAGCCAATTCCTTCACATGTTCTGAGAAAATACGACAAAATTAGTCAAATGTTCTAGTTTTTAACCTTTTGAGAAAAATAAAGTTTATAGAATCAATTCTCAAACACGGTGTCAGAAGGTAGCATGTCCCCCTCCTCCAGCTGCTGACACCACAGATCAAACTGCACCAGAGCACATCGTCATGCAGGATTTACTAAGTCAGGCTGGTTATATAAGGCCGTCCCCAACCTGAGAGAGACGAGCACCACGCGGTTTCTACGCTGCCGAGGTGGAAACACGGAGCCGCTAAAAGGAGGAGGCGGCAAGAGAAAGGAGGGAAGACATTGGTTGAGAAAACGGAGAGGAAAGCAGAGGAGAGGACACACAGAGGGAAGACGGACGTGTCTCCTGATGTGTGACCTTCAGTATTTCTGCAGATTCTGCAGCATCAGAAAACTGACGGAGGCCAACGGCGTGAACGGATATTTCTTCCCTCTGACGTGTGTAGAAGTTATAAATAATTACGATCTGCTGTCCAGGTGAACACCGGCGTGTTTATATCCATCCACCTCCTCTACCACACATCACATGTTCCTGCTTCTCCTAAAATCCACAATCATCTCTGTTTTCTTCACATTTAAGATGATTCTTGACACGTTGAGCCACAAAAGAGGTCCACCAGGGCTTTGTACTCGGTCTCCTGTCCATCTCTGATACACCCGACGACAGCTGCAGAGTCATCTGAATATTTCTGCAGAGACGGGACTAATTTGTACTGAAGGTCTGAGGTGTGCAAAGTAAAACGCAGTGGTGAAAGTACC